TGCACTCCATGTCCCCCACCACTGCCACTCCCGTGTAAGCGACCAGCTGGGATGAGACGGGTCGGACAGTGACAGAGAGAGGAAGGGAGTAAAGGGGGAAAGAAAACGGGGAAGTGAAGGGGGGGTAGAGGAGTGGGGAGAGCAATGAGGAAAGGAGCAAGTACAATTGGACTGAACAGAGAGTAACGAGAGCAGAAAGTGCAAGAATGATGCGTGCATGAATGGACTGCTGCAGCGGCACACCCAAGAGACCTCGTACCAGTTGAACCAAACTAAATCAAATCCCTGAGGCTGTACCAAGAAATACCTGCTACCTTGTGGGAGGGAGGTCTCATGGGTGTGACACAGAGCAGTGAAGAAGGGAGTGTGATGAATGGTGCAGCATGACATGAAAAGCAACAGAGTGCTATGGTTGGGAGAAGAGAGTAAGGGCGGGGTACTTAGCTGTGGGTGGGTTGGGTGGAGAGCAGCTGCTGCCTGTGCACTCCGTGTCCCCCGCCACTGCCACTCCCATGTAAGCGACCTGCTGGGACAAGAGAGGGCAGATCAGGACAGAGCGAGGAAGGAAGGAGGAGGTGGAGAAAACGGGGGAGTGAAGGGGGAGCACAGACGTGGTGAGGGATGAGGAAAGAAGCAGACGAGTGGAGTGAAGGGAGAGTGACGAGTGCAGAAGTGCAAGTTGATGCGTGCATGAATGGACTGCTGCAGTGGCACACCCAAGAGACCTCGTACCAGCTGAACCAAAGTCAAACAAATACCGGAGGCTGTACCAAGAAAATCATACCTGTTACCTTGGGGGAGGGAGGTCTCATGGGTGTGACAGAGAGCAGTGAAAGAGGCATATGATGCATGGTGCGAGCACAAAAAGCAACAGAGTGCGAGGGTTGAAGAAGGCACTTAGCTGGCGTTTGAAGAAGGAGCTGATGCTGCTGCCGCGCGACCATTTTGCCATGCCACGATTTGCGGATGAAGATTTCGCCATGAGGCGAATTGCAGACGACGATTCCGCCGTGCGACGACGCGTGGAGGACGAAAGCCTCACCAAAAAACGCGAAACCACAAACTGGCGACGCCTGATCACATAGCAAGTTGTCGCCAACCATTTGCTTGGCGAGACAGCGTGAGCAGAACCTGCACAATATCAAGAAAAATAAAGCTCAGTTGGTTGAAAACGAGGTGAGAATAGGCTACGGGTATTACTACAAACGATGAGAAACGGACTGAAAACGGCGAAATGAAAGACGCTCACCAGAAATTGCTGGATTTTGAGTCACGACTTCAGCTTTGCGACGATGTACAAGTCGCTGAAGCGCGTCGAAGTCGAGTTCAAGTGGTCTGTGAACGTGAATGATACCTGCAATGCGAAAATAATCGCAATCTGTTTAGTTAAATCTCGCATGTGAAGAGCAAGCTAGAATCTGCAAGAAATGACGAATCAGCGACGAAGTACATACCTAAGTTCGGAGGCTGGAACTGCACAACGAACTGAGTGCAGCTTGGCGGATTTGGCTGCTAAATCTCGAAGATTCCAATGTTGATTGAGGAACGATTTCGATGGGAGCGGAGAGCTACGGCTACCGAAAACAAAATGGAAGAGCTACGCTAGCAAGATGAAGGAGAACGCTCTCAGGTGGCGGAAACTCAGTTGAAAATGAGCAGAATCGACCATGTTGGAGAGAAATCGAGTCGAAAATGGCTGAGAACGGGCCAGAATCAGCCGAGGGGGTCACAGATTGAGGCTCACTACCCCCCTGGAATGACGGTGGTTTCATAAAGTAAATCTAACGGTTCCATAATGTTACTCTTTGAGGAGGTTGGGGCTAGATTCAAATCTCAACTGTAGGTCGAAGTTCCAACGTGTCACATGATTGTGCGGTTCAGGTGGTTTGGAACCCTCCGTTTGCTACACTCCGTCACGTGTCCCAATGGCCGTCAAGCGGCTACATCGAAAAAGAGAATCCAGAGATCTCCCAGAAAGGGTCCGTTGAAGGAAGCGGGAATCAAGGGTAGGAATGAGCAAACGAAAAGCCCATGATTTTCGACCGTCGATTTGAAAATCTATCAGGTGGATCCGTTATTTTGCCGGTTCGACATCTGCCGCCGCGTCGCTCAATCTCGAACTACCAGTGGTGGCCAACGAGAGGCCACGAAACCCCTAGCCGTGTAAGAGAGCCGTTATACCTGGAGATGGGATTCCCGCTATACCTGGAGGGCAGGATCTCCCTTTGGAATCCCTGGTTGGAGCTAGACTGGTTCGCAGTGGAAGCAGTTCCGTTTCTGGGTGAAATTCCTTGTTGGTGCGAAAGGGCAGAAAGGCGAAATTGCTATCTTGGTCCCCCGTGGCAGTGAATTCTGTAACCATCTTCCTACAGAATGGCACTTCGTCACATTTTTGGGTGCTCAGCCCTGACTCAAGCCAATGAGCGCGCAAGACAATCTCGTGACGTGGCAACTTGTAGCCTGACCTCTGGGATATTTTGCCCTCTGGGTTTGGTTGGGTAGATTTGGCTGAAAGTGGTCTGGCCTTTCGTGCGCCAGTTTGATTGGTCGGTGAAGGCGGTTCATCAGTGGTTCTGGTTGGGTTCCCACTGGTGAGGTTTCGCCAGTTGTCGACACTTTGACTTCCTAAAAAATCTCGAGTTATCCTCCGTCTGCAAGAATCTGTACCAGACATGTGGCTGAAGTATTGCAGGACCATTGTCTACCGTTCGATTACATAATTATTGAACGGAAACAATACTTTGGCTGGTCTGATAACCCGCTGTTACGAAAACGCCCTTGCCGCAATTGAGACTCGGCCATACCTGACTATGTTCTGCTGAACCCAACCGAAGTCAGTCAGCCCTTTGCCCTGTGGCTCACGTTACAGTACTGGACCGACCAAGCTGCAAGAACCAAAGAGTCACAATCAACCAACAGCTTTTGACATTTCAACCTCAGAGAGGACTTTAATGCACAGCATTGTGACATCTCAACTTCAGATTGTCTTTTTCAGGTCTCACTGCGGAAAGGACGCCACAGCTCATTTTCGGTCATTTCCTCCGCTTGATTCCTTCTCCCCTCCGAGTTTTCCAGCATGGATTTCTTCAACAAGGCCGCTTCCCTTGTTAGCGCCGCTACGGAGACGAAGGCGGAAGTAAGCAATATTAATTTGGTTGTGGTTAGGGCACGCGTTCGTATTACTCGAAGCGCGAGTTTTTAACAGCAGCTTCTGCTCTTCTTTGCAGGCAGCGCCCGCAGCCGCGCCCGCAGCCGCGCCCGCAGCCGAGGGCTTCAGCATCGGTGGCGTCTCGCTGACGGATGCAGCTGGCTATGTTGAAAAAGCGAAAGCAGCGGTAGCTGTTGCACAATGTAACGAGGTTAGTGCTGTTGATTTGTTATTACTACCCGATTCATCCCCGTAATCGCGAAATTTAACTCACCGTTTTCCCTGGACGTGCGCAGGCGGTGAAAAAGGCTGGCTTTGACGACGAGGCCAAGGTGCTCGGGGATCTTCTCAGTCAAGCTGAGAAGGTAAGAAGCACGATTCCCCGTTTCGTTGCTTTCGCATCTAGATAATACCTAATTTACCCTTTTTCCTCCTGCAGATGATTCCTGGTGCGCCAGCGCCTGCTCCGTCTCCGGCTGCTTCTGCGCTTTCTGCTGCTACTGCCGCGCTCGCTGCTGTCGCTGCACCTGCAGCCGCTGCTGCGCCTGCCGCCGCTGCTGCGCCTGCCGCCGCTGCTGCGCCTGCCGCCGCTGCTGCGCCTGCCGCCGCTGCTGCGCCTGCCGCTGCCGCTGCTCCCGCCGCTGCTCCTGCTGCTGCGCCTGACGCTGCCGCTGCGCCTGCCGCAGCGGCTCCCGCTCCCCCTGCTTAAATCCGAGCCAATGTGACGCCTGAACAGGCAGAGGTTAACCTCACCAGAATTATGACATTATGGCAGCTGAGAAGCCCACATGCAGGTCATGAAGTACACCTGCTGCTGCAGAATAGTTCAGTTCTCCATGTAGTATATGCAGGGTGCTTCGAACCCCTCTTGAGTTGAGTAGTGGAAGAAGATTGGTGCCTGATGTGTGACTTGTTGTTGCTCTTGGTGGAAAAGGCTAGTGCTCCTCAGCTTAGAGACCATTTGGGCCCCTCCCTAGCAGGCAAATGCACTTTGTCATGCAGGAGTATCATGCGGTGCAAGCATTTGAAATGCAGTATCAGTACGGTACATGAAACCCGCTTGAAGACAATGTTGAAAGTTTGTAGTACACCCACTTAGTACTAGTTGTCATACTTCAACAGATCTGTCGCAGCTGTAACCACAATTCGTTTTCTATCAAACCATTCAAAATGGTGCTCATTTCTACCAGGACTATCCATGAAAAGTCAATCTCTTAACTGATTTGAAATCCTTCCTATATCGTAGCTTCTTCCTACACTCAGAAGGCCTAGCACATACCTTATTCCAATATTGAAGGTGCCAAGGGAAGAGATCACTTGTAAGTACGAGTCTCTCCTACAAGCTTAACATGTCACGGCTTTCTGCTCGCTAAGCCTCGTCCATCTGTGTAGCAGTGACGGTAGAACCTTCTGTGGAAGCCTCTGGTCCTGTGACTTCAGGAATGTTGAAACCCGGGTTCACTTGCTGATTTGCTGCTTCGACAACCTCCGATGGAACATATCGAAGGAACTTGTCCAATCTTGAAATGGCAGCCTGGATGATAACAAATGCAGCAATTTAGGAAGCACGAGAACAAACTGACGGAAGAAGAAATGCTGCTGCTAAACCATAATGAGGTCAGGTGGGAGGGTACATGATACACACCTTGATAGACTTGACGCTGAATGAGAGGAACTCCAACCTGCAAACACAACGGAAGTCAAACTGCGGTGAGCATAAATGGATAAGAGAACAGAAGACCAGCAGTACTGTATGTCTAGGAACATTAGACGATCAGGCATGGCTTACTGTTGTGATGGGCTTGGAGAACCCATGTTCTCGAAATAATTTCCGTAATCCGCCTGCATTCACTCAGGAGCACGCATGCAACATAGGACACAACCAATGAAGGTTAGAGAGGGAGGGCCTTTCACTGTAAAAAGATTGATAGGTGTCTGGGAAGAGTGAGTTTGCATCGCAGTAAGGGAGTGCGGAGGTGAGAGTGAGATTCTGAACACACACCTGCTGCAGGTAGTCTATGATCTCAAACGCGAGTTCTTTTGCTGGCTGCTGTGACTTGTCCTCTAGAAGGACAGTGGTGCTGCAGAGGCACAGGCAATGGAGGATGGATGGGAAAGTGCAAGGAGGATGGATGGGAAAGTGCAAGGGAGGATGGATGGGAATGTGGAGGATGGATGGGAAAGTGCAAGGAGGATGGATGGGAAATTGCAAGGGAGGATGGATGGGAAAGTGCAAGGGAGGATGGATGGGAATGTGCAAGGGAGGATGGATGGGAAAGTGCAAGGGAGGATGGATGGGAATGTGCAAGGGAGGATGGATGGGAATGTGCAAGGGAGGATGGATGGGAATGTGCAAGGGAGGATGGATGGGAATGTGCAAGGGAGGATGGATGGGAATGTACAAGGGAGGATGGATGGGAATGTGCAAGGGAGGATGGATGGGAATGTGCAAGGGAGGATGGATGGGAATGAGCAAGGGAGGATGGATGGGAATGTGCAAGGAGGATGGATGGGAAAGTGCAAGGAGGATGGATGGGAATGTGCAAGGAGGATGGATGGGAATGTGCAAGGAGGATGGATGGGAAAGTGCAAGGAGGATGGATGCATTATGTGAAAGGGCGGATTCTGGATAAATGGATGTGGCAGCAAAAGGTGGCCTTCAAAGAAACGCGAAGGGGGTGGTATACGAAATCGCGCACAGGGAAATCAATTCCTTAACAATTGGCAGGGTGAGAGCAGAAAATGAGTCGAGGAGGGTGGGGGGCGGGGGAGGGGTAGTAATCACAATGAGAGACAACAAACTCTGAGGAATCTACTCTACAGTTGCGTACCTAACAAGATTTTCCCTGACGGTGTCGACAGTGCCCACTGCAAAGCGCAGCTGCGAGCGCAGAGACACAACATCTGGCACCGATGCACCAATGAGGAGAGGCACACACAAGCAGGGAGACACACACGAGGAGATAGGCACATATTGTTGCATGGGCAGTGAGTCCCAACGCTGCATAAGATGGCTGAGAAGGAGGCTCAAGGATGAGGACAGCAACAAGCGCTCCCCTTCCAATGCAACAAGCGGCCCCCACTCCCCTCCCCACAACGCAACAAGCACCCCCCACTGCACAGCAAGCTCCCACCTCCACACTGGTAGCAAGTACTGACCAAGCGAGTCTGCTTGTGAAACGATGGCCTGGAGAGCCAATTGCAGGCGGACAAGTGGCACGACGTAGAAGAAGAGAGGCTTGGTGGGAGGGGCCACTGTGAGCGGAATGTCGTACTGGCCGGGTTGGGAATGGGGGTGGGAGTGGGGATGGGAGTGGGGATGAGGGTGGGGGTGGGGGTGGGGATGGGAGTGGGGGTGGGGATGGGGTTTGTAGTGGGGGTGGGAGTGGGGGTGGGGATGGGAGTGGGGGTGGGGGTGGGAGTGGGGGTGGGAGTGGGAGGACCAGAGATAGGAGAAGAGTTGAAAGTAAATTCAGGGAGCATCTGAAAGGAACGATGACCGGAATGTGGCACTTGGAAGAGGGGGAGTCAGGGGCAGGTGCAGAAAGAGAAACGTACAGGAAAGAATTTGGATGGGAGGGACGATAGATCGTGTGAGTGAAGTGAGTACAAGGGGCGCGATGAATTGTGCCATACCAGAGCGACAGGAAGTGCGAGCACAGCGAGGCCGGCACCAATGAGCAGCCGCCGCGTCACGATGCCGTCTCTCTCCTTGCCGTCCAGCTCGCCGTCCCCCTCGCCGCCGGCCTGCGCGCTCAGTAGCTCCGTCTCCGTGAATCCCCACGACCGCACTGCTCCCTTCTTGCCACCTGCGGGACGAGCGCCGCGCATAACGACAAGCATAAAGAGAAGGGCGAGACGGCGTCAGGCGACGGGGAGTTTCCCGGGAACGAGACGGACGCGAGACGGGGAGCATGGAGGAACGATGCGAAAATAGAACTCAGGTGACGAGGAAATGGTTTGGGTGATAAGGGGGAGAGGAGAAGCGGGGAAATGGTGGAAGGGAGTGGGGCTTGTGATTGGAGAAGGCAAGTACCGGTGACGACGGGTCCTTGGAAGATGGTTTCGCGCGCGCCGGTGCCGTCGATGTACACGTCGCTGTTGGGCTTCATGCGGATCAGATTGTCCGCCTTCTCCAGCCGCCGCTGCTCCAACTCCAGCCGCAGCGCCGCTGCCTCCGCCTCCGCCGCCGCTAGCCTCGCTGCCAGCTCTTCCTTCTCCACATCCGTCTGTTGCTGCTGCACCGTTTTTTCTGGCGTGACTGACGCCTGAAACGACGGAAACAGCAGAAGGGATGTCGATGTCACTCGCAACGGGTGGGGCTGGGATCGATGACATCAACGGGTGGGGCTGGGATCGATGACAGCAACGGGTGGGGCTGGGATCGATCCATGCACTTGTTATTTGGTACACATTGAAGTCATTAACAGGCATGCTCATTTGTGCTGATGAATATGTCACGGTACCCATTTTTCTGCTTGCTGTTACATTCTTCTCATTTAGACTATTTCCAACTATTTAATGTCGTCTCCTCATACCTCATACTCTCCGACTGGGTTTTCCTGTGCTTGTTCATGCTCTTACCTCATCGTTCGGCCCTGATCGCACTGCCAGCTGACGACATTTGAAAGCCGAACGCTCAACAACGGCAGGTGGTCTGGCGACGAATCTAGAGAAGCTGTCGGAATTCCATCGAGAAATGCGTTTGCTCCTGCATCCCTGACTAGCCACTGGTGCAATCTGCAAACGAGCGGGAGAGACGAGCCCGATCATTGTTGCAAAAGCCCAGCAGATCAGACCTAGTTTTCCGTGTCAGGCTAAGGTCGTCAGAGGAACTTCACTGACACGGAATCACTGAACAAATTTTAGGAATCTGCACAATGCAGGAAGTTCACTCTGAAACGCCAAGGGCCAGGTAGTAGATTGATACTACAGTACACTGCATTTGCACAGGTGGGAGAACCTGAAGATTTGTGCGTGAAACTGGCCTGGAGAATGCCGAAGGTGTTTGTGGGGAAGGGGAGTCGACGTGGCTCGCTATTAGACCCTCTCAGGCCACGTGTACACCCTGCTTCGCGCTAGCAGAGCATCTGGTTGCAGAACATGCACAGGTTGTAGAACGTCACCACGTTTGAAATGGTCTTATCACCGACGGTACAAGCACATTCACAAGAAAGCGGTTAGCTAGGATGCTGCATGGTAAAGAACATTAACCAAGCGTTTCAAAGCGGTTGAAAAGGGTATACAGCGATAAAGAAAATTTTTGCCCCCAGTACCACTCCGTCAGCTGGTGCGGCTTTGCCCGCAGGTTTCAGCCATACGGTTTATGGCACCTGACCGCACTGTAGCAGCGAATCGCGCAAGGTGAGAGGGTCGAGAAACAGGGTGTACCGAAAGCTGGGTCAAGGCTGATGTGACGAGGATGTTCAGCAAAGGCCTTATCTTCGATACAAGCGGAATGCTTGAGGTTTCAGAATGCTGGGTGCTGAGTACATCCGTGAATGTCAACGTAGAAAAATTGACGGAGTTATGTGAATCAGCTTTTACATCCAATTCTCGATTTCCGCATTCAAGAAATCGAAATTTCAAATGCTTCAGCTTGGCGCGAAAGCCTCCCATTGGGGCGTGGTGTTTCTTCCTGTCGCCCTTTTGAGCACCCAAATGCCAGCCACACAGAAAGCTTAGCGTCAGGCGGAACGGACGCACCTGCGCGTCATTCCAAGACATGGCTGCGCCATGGCATGTCGAATCAAAGCAGGCGTGGGTGGGGGATTCCGTGCGGTGCTTACGCGCAGATTTTATTCCGTGGCGGGTGGATGGATGGTCAACCTTAGCGGGGAGGGAATGGATGTTGCTGCGGCGAATGGAGTGTTACGATTGGCTGCCTTGATGCCTCGCTGGTCGCAAGTGTCATCGAGTCATCGAGTCTAGTGGATGAAAGTGAAGTCACTTTCTCGCCGGTTGGTTGGTGGCATGGCAGCATAGTCGTTTCTCCAGCCTGTTCGCCGAAAGTGAGGACGCACTGGAGGCCCCAGAGTGAAACAGCAAAGCGGCTGTCGCAAACGTCGCAGATGTCGCTCGAGTTACATTATCAGGGAGCAAACGCACTCTTGCTGGAGTTGCCAGGAGTTCTGCGCTAGAATTCGCTGACCTATAGGAGACGCTATGCTGAACACCACGCAACCAGCAGCAGCTTTGGCATTTGCCACAGCAGTGGTGACTGACAGCAGGGGTGACATGTGAGTGATCGTGTTCGCCTGAAACCCAGAGAAATCGTTTAAGAACTCAGCTAACCGATTCAAAACTCGGAACATCTTGTGACACGCCATGCACTGCTCATGGTCGTCGTGAACAGTTCGGAGCTACGGGGATTTCCGTACCTTGCCTCACCGTGCCTTCGCCAACCGCGCTGCCTGGAACATTTCGTCCGATTCTCCTCCGCTTGCTCTCTCTACCTTCCAAGCAATCCGCCATTCCCCTTCCCCGCAAGAAACGGGTTGCGGGAAGCGTCCGCTTCAAGGCAGCTCACCTGCCGCCATGCCATGATGCCACTCCCCGCATGGCATCACTCCGCTGGTTAGCTCTCTTCTTGAATGGCGGACCTGACCTGACGTTCGCAGTTTCAGCCATTAATTCTTTCAGCTAGGGTTGTTTGGACATATGGGAAGCGAGACTCAGGAGGCTCACAGAAGCCCCGCAGCTTCTTTTAACTCCTTGCTGGGGCTTTCTTGTTCTCACAGCCATCTTGCTGCTAATTCGGCTGAAGCTAATTTCGTGCTGAAGCGCTGTTCTATCTCAGGCCAATTAACCAACAGCAGCACCGTTAAAGTTAATAATAAAAATATTGCCAGTAATAACCTAAATACGGCATTATATCCGCGCTCTAAGAGCAGTCTGTCTAGAATAGACGACGGGTCATTATCCCCTGGTGCTCGGCAACTGGCGGGTTTATTTCTAGCGTCCATTCTTAAGCGCACCTGCGCGCGAACGAGGGGGTGGCGCGCTAGCCTCGGCCAACGTAAGAGCAGTCAAGCGGAGGAGTTTCGGTCGTGCCTTTCTCAAACTGGAGTTAACGTGATACGGAAGACTTTCGTCGCATCTCCGCCGGAATCTTCAAGACGCTCCAAGGGGAACTGTTTAGTCAGCGGCGTCGTCAAAACGAAGTCCGTTCGACATAAGCACCCTCCGTCTGCTTCTCGCATTGCCGGTTCTTCCGTCTCGGCTGACGGCGCTCTCGCTGTCGCCGTCGCTCCAGCAGCAATGGCTCCCGCGTTCAGAGCGACGGGAGGATCGGCAAACGTCTCACAGGAACCTCGCAAGGCAGGAGTTAAGGCTAATGCGTCCGAAAAGCCGGCAACTGCTGTAGCCGTGAGCAGCGCGCGCGGTTCTGACAGGCTCCAGTCAGCTGCTGCGAGCGGTGTTGGTTCAGGTTCTAGTAGACTCCTACCGTCTGCTGCTGGTGCTGCCGATGCTGCCGTTTCCTCGAGCATGGTCGCCGAAGCCTCTGAAGAAGTACGAACAGCCGAGGTACGCTCGAGATTCTGCACAGTTTTGTTCCTGTTCTTTGCTCCTGCCTCCGCTCAAATCGGTTCATCGTACGCTTTCCGGCTATTGCTGTGTTTCTCACTGCATCTCGACACAGTGTGCATTCCTGGTTTCTAGTGGTTCTTGGTTCCTTCATTTGAACTCGACTGTTTTTCTATTTTGGACCTACCTTGGTCTGCAGACTGCGGCTATTAACGACGCATGTCCTTCGCGGGTAAACTCCGAGCTGGCCGCGTGTGACGTGGCTGCGAGAATGACGGCGGATGCTGACGTGGCAGCTGAGCTGGATGGGAACGGACACAACCACGAGCACCCGCGATGTTCGCCAGTGCTTCGTCGCAAACCTATTGACGTGCCTGCGAAGATGGTTCGCCAGCTCTTCGCGACGAGCAAGAATAAATACACGGGATTGGACGAAGTGAAAGAGGACGGCGTGAGGGACTCGTGGACCGAGTCCTTGGAGCCTGAATCGCAGTTTTCTGATATGAATGAGCTTATGTCGAGCGGCCTTGATGGAATTACGTTCGATTCGTCGATCGCAGAGTCTGCTGGACAAGGGGATGACTTGTCTGACGTGAAAGGGGGAGAGAAGGGCGAAGAGGACAAGGGAGGGGAAGAGGAGGGATTGGAAGAGTTTGAAGAGGAAATAGAATTGGAGATTGAGGAAGAGGAGGTGGAGGTGGAGGAAGAGGAGGAGGTAGGAGAGAAAGCCGAAGGCAAGGAGCAAGAAGAAAGCGACAGTGATGAGGACGAGGATGAGAGTGAGGATGAGGATGAGGATGAAGGGGAGGAGGAGGAGGGAGATGGGGAGGAGAGTGGAAATGAGGGTGAGGAGGAAGAGGATTTGGAGGAGGAAGAAGAGCAAATGGAGGATGGGTATTCGATTGTTCTGAAGGTTGGTCAGGTCATGTTGCCGTGCAAGGTGAGGTATGACAATGAGGAGATTGTTCAGATCGTTGAAGCAGTGGACGATTCGGAGATCGTGGAGGTGGTTGATGACGTGGCAGATAACGGTGACTTGGCAGTCAATGACGTGGATGAGCACCAGGACTGCCACGGGCACGTGCGAACCTGTACGTCTCTTCCTGCGGCCAGTGACAGCCCGCCACGTGTCCTTTCCCTGTCCATGGAGAATTCCTCCCCTCCCGCTCCTTCCTCACCCACCTCTCCTCTCCACTATCCGCCCATCTCCTCTTCCCCGCCCCCCACTGAGTCCCTAGAGCAAATGCTCACTTCCCCCACCATCCCCACTGCTCCGTTCCCGCCTCCTCCTAAGAGCATCCTCAAGCTCTCGTTTGTGGAACGCTGCAGTAACGCAACCTCCTCTTGCAAGGTCACGAGTGGCAATGTCATGGAAACCGTGGGCCAGAAGCGGCAGAGGGACGGGAGCGAGAGTGGCAGTGCGTGTGGTGGGCGGAAGGAGGGGCAGGGAGGAGTGGTGGGAGCAGGGGCGTGCGCAGAGGCGAGGGGGGTGCGGCCGACAGCACGGGAGCGAGTGGAGAGGCAGATGGAGGTGGCAGAGGCAGCAGTGAGAATGCTCGTGGAGCGATGCAAGGTGAGGAGGCATGATAAATGGGAGGGGAGTGAGTGTAGTTTTTTTTTTTTTTCTGCAGTTTTGTGTGCCATGCGTGAGTGTACCCATCTGCTGGAACCCTCGTCTGTGTGGTGCTCATGCAGGGTGAGAATCGCGATGATGCTTCACATGGTCACGGAGTGTCTCCTGTGCCGACCTCATTGGCTAACGATGTCCTGCACCAAATGGAGCAGCTGCGCCATGCAGTCTTGGACATAACCAAGGTATGCTGGATGTTTTTCCTTTTCTCTCACGCCGATGGTAGAGACATTCAGACCGTCGCTTTCGTACCCTAGAGTTTGTATTCACCATCTCCATTTTGTCGAGGCATCTCATCCATAACGGGGCTGTTTTCCTTCTATTTCTTAAATTCCTCTCTACACTCCTCCCCCCCTGTTTCCTGTTGTTTTACCTCTCAGCCGCGCAAGCGCCTTCGATTTGCCGATGAGCTTGGGAAGGAGCTCAACCATATCCGTTTCATTCAACCCAGAAGGTGATCAAGTTTTGAAGGCTACTGGGCATCTGTGTGCACAGTGCCCTGCTTCTCCGCCTTGCATGATGGCTTCTCCCATTTTTTATGTCTAGAGGATGTTTTCTGGCTGTTTGCATTGCAGCTGATAAGTGTGCTGCAGCATATCTGTTCACAATAATTGTGGGACTAGTCAAGTTTCTGCCTGCAAGCTGATTCATTTTGAAGTTTGTGAAGTAAGATGAATGATTGAGATAGATTACCGGTTGATACATAGCATTTAACATTTCCATTGAAACTATATAAGGCGTTGCTCTTACGGAAATTATCCAGGTCAATCACCACCGATCTTACCGAAGCGTCAGGCATCGGGAGGTGTAAGGAAATTTCTCGGCATTCCTTACGGAGCCCGACTACATCGCGTACAGCAACAGCCGTTGTTCGCCCGTTACTGCTAACGGGGCTTCGCCGACTTCGCGCGCAGCACTGTTTCACCAAACCTCGCACTGCTGGCCTGGCCGTGTCGGCCTACGCTTCGGGACTAGCCCGACAGGGCCTCAGATTGGTTTTGGGCTAGGCTGAACAATCAGAGTTGGTACAAAAAAGTATGCTGAAAATCAGATAAATTAGCCATTTTATGCCATTTTACACTATAAAATTCATAGTTTTTCCCTTTTTTTTTTCCAAAAATTTGCTGAAAAATCAGCCCTGGTTCTAAACGAAGTCTGAAATCTCGGCCTTTTTTACCTAAATCAGCCTTTTTTCGCTGACTTCTGAGGCCCTGTAGCCCGAGCCTCGCTCCAGCGTAGCACTAGCTAGCTCGCACGCACCGCGTTACGGTACCGTTTGCATGTTTCGCATATAAATGTTCGCTCATGCCTTCGCTCACATTTTGTACTCGTTTGACACCTTAGTGCAATTCTCGCTACTTCGATTCATTGCACCCGTAACACTTGGTATTCAGAGCCCCTTTCTTTCGGACCGCGCATCTCCGCACCCCAGGAAATCAGCTTTTGATTTTTCACTCGAAGGGACTCACGTACCTTAGCACCTAGGAGCCGCTGTCCTCGCGTTCTCTCGTAAACGCGTGCAGCCACGACTGCACCTAGACTAAGACGAGCCGACGCCCTTCGAAATGGCTGAACATATCGACGTCACGACTCTCACGCAGGAGCACTTGAACGATCTGCTGCGACAAATCCGCGAGAGCGCCGAGGAAACCGCGACGCTGACGGCAGAACGCTCGTCCCTGCAAAACGACCTCACACGGGCACAATCCCAAGCACCTGGCACTCCGATTCAGCCCGCACCACAGACATCACAGCACGGAAGTGTGGGGCAACCCGCGAGCGCCGCAAGTGATGGCGTCGTCCGCCATGACGGAGACGACGACCACGACACGACACACCCCGACGCGACGAATGCGGCCAGGACTCAACCTCGAGTCACGATTTCAGTGCCGGCCGGCGAATCAACTCTTCCGTCGCCGATGCCGCTAAAGCCGCAGCGTCCACCATGCTTTGACCCAAGTCAGCGGGGTGGTCCTACCGTTCAGGCGTGGCTCTTCACGTTGAACGTCTTCTTCGACGCGAACTACGTCTCGGAGGATACGGCGAAGATTCGCTACGCCGTGTCGTTGCTGCGAGGACCCGCCATGGACTGGTGGCGCGTCATCGTCACGAAGCCGGTGGACTACGCGACTCTACCGACACGGGAAGGACAAACCGGACCCTGGGCGCCGTCGTATTTCGTGGAGGTGCCCCAGTATCGCACGTGGGACGCATGGTGCGCAGGTCTACGCGCTTGTTTCGAGCCAATCGCGGCTTCGATCGCGGCGCGGCAGAAGCTCTGCACTTGGCGCCAACTCGGTTCCGTCCAAGATTACACGAGCGGATTTCTGGCGCTATGCGAGTAGGTGGGATATATGCACGAGAGCGAGCGCATCGACCGCTACATCGGCGGCCTGAAGCAGGACATCGCTCAGGAAATCCAGCTCCGCGGCGTCACCGACTTTCAAGAAATTCTCGCCATGGCAGAGAAACTTGATTTCTTCCGCCGACCGAGACCGGGGTCCTACGGAAGCAGTCATTGGGGACATCGTCCTCGTGGGACGAACGAGGGTGCCACGATACACGCCGTCGCCGCAAATGCCGTTGCCGCACCGTTCAAAGGGCGCTGCTTCGCGTGCAATCGGCCGGGACATCGCAAGAGCGAATGCCCAGAAAACGCTAAGGGAAAGGGGGAAGCTGAGCAGCAGAAACAGACCAAGCAGCAGGGAAACGCTGGGAGTCAGTAGCAGACGGGCCCTCTACTGACAGGTCACGTCGCTCGCCCGACCCAACCGACCCTCACCGAGTGATTGTGCCGGTTCACGCAATCGACCACACTCGGCCGAATAAGGAGGGGACTACAGTAGACAGCCTCATACTGCTTAGTGGGAAAATCGGGACGGACTTAGTTAAAATCTTCGTAGACGAGGGTGCTAGCCACAGCCTCATCAACACCGCTACAGCACGAAAACTGCGACTGCCACTGGACAGATGTTAACCTTAGATTGACGCACGACTGGTAGACGGCACGCCGCTGGCGATACGGGAACGCGTACACCGGGTTCGGATTCAATGTGGGGGTAACTTCACGTTTAGCCAGGAAATGCTCGCAACGACCCTCGACGGAACCGATATTTTACTCGGGCGTGATTGGTTGCGACGACACATTCTGCGAATCGACTAGACGACGGGTGACTGCACCGTGCGAGTGAACGGTAACAACATCGCCTTACCTCGTTGGGGCTCACTTTAGTCTTCGTCGGTGCGTGTCAACGCGATCACGATGAAACGCGCCGTAGCGGCAGGAGCTGACGTGTACGCGGTCGACATTCGGGAAGCCGAGGCAGCAAACAAAGGAGGGGATTTACAGAAACTGCTGGCCGACGTACCAAGTGACCTGGCAGCACTGTTGAAGCAGTACAGCGACATTTTCCCGGACGATTTACCGACGGGACTGCCACCTCAGCGACCGCACGACCACAGGATAGAGTTAGAACCGGGGGCACAGCCAACAGTACAGCGACAGTTCCGATTGACCCAGCCCGAACTAGACGAACTGAGGAAGCAGCTCGACTACCTGCTCGAGAAGGAATTCATTCGCCCTAGTTCGTCGCCCTTCGCAACACCGATACTGTTCACACCGAAAAAAGACGGGGGATTTCGCATGTGCATAGATTACAGAGCACTGAACAAGGTTACCATCAAATCCCATTACCCCATCCCGCGAGCCGATGAACTGATCGACCAACTGCGCACAGCTCGGGTTTTCTCGAAAATCGACCTCCGAGGGGGTTACCACCAGATTCGCGTCAACCCGCCCGACTGCCCTAAGACCGCATTCCGCACACGCTACGGATCCTTCGAATACATCGTCATGCCTTTCGGACTGACCAACGCCCCCGCCACCTTTCAAATGACCATGAACGAAGCTTACCGCCCGCTCTTAGATAAGTGCGTCATAGTATACCTGGACGACATACTGATTTACAGCCCTGACAGAGCACAACACTTACAGGACATCGAAGATTTTTTAAAATCCTGAGTGAGAACCGCCTACTGACAAAAGCGTCTAAGTTTGAGTTTTTACAGGACCGCACGGAGTTTTTGGGACACGTTATTTCAGCTGTAGGAGTGGAAATAGACCGGAAGAAAATCGCGGCGATTCAAGCATGGCACGCGCCGACCAACTTGACCGAGTTGCAGAGTTTTTTGGGGTTCTTCAACTACATGCGCCGGTTCGTCCCCGACATGGCGAAGTTGACTGGCCCGTTGACAGACCTGCTGAGGAAGGGGGTTGAGTACACGTGGGGGGAGAAAGAGCAAGCTGCCTTCTCGGCCCTCAAAAACATTTTGTGCTCACCGCCCGTGCTTCACATCGCAGATCCACTCCGTCCGTTCGAGCTCGTCACTGACGCAAGTGACATCGCTGTGGGAGCAGTACTGTTGCAGGATTTCGGAAACGGCCTCCAGCCAATCGCGTACGAGTCCCGCAAGCTGCACCCGCCCGAACGCAATTACCCGATACACGACCGCAAAATGTTGGCGACCGTGCACGTGTTCAAGGTTTGGCGGTGTTACCTGACTGGCGCCGACGTGACAGTAGCGACAGACCACCGATCACTACAGTACTTACGCGCCCAACCGAATCTCAACCGACGACAGATTCGCTGGTTGGACTACTTCGAGTCCAACTTCCACTACACGGTTACGTACAAGAAAGGCGCATCCATTATCGCCGACGCACTCACCCGCCCTACTGCCCAACTCCACGCCATCCTACTCGCCCAGATCAACCCACTTTTAACAGGCCTATTTACCCACGGATACCGCACTGACCCCTTCTTCACGACCGGAAATTCACAGCAACTGGGAGAAGCTAAATGAGTTTATTACGTAAAAACAGGCACCAACCGCATCTGGGTACCCGCGTACTCACTACTGAGGGAGGTACTACTGCAGGAGGCACACGACGGAATTGCCTCGGGACATTTTGGGGTAGAAAAAATGCGACAGCAACTGCAGCGGTATTACTACTGGTCGGAGCTGTTGACCGACGTGCAGCAGCACGTGGGCTGGTGCCCCACGTGTCAGGTGATGAAGAGCTCAAGGAAGCGGAAGGCGGGTCAATTGCAGCCGATATCACCGCCCGAGAGCGCCTGGCAGCAGGTTACCATGGACTTCGTCACAGGGTTACCTTCGAACCCTGGGGGTAACGACGCGGTGATGGTCGTCGTTGACAGGTTGACGAAGATGGCACACTTCGCTGTGTGCAAAAAGTCGATCTCAGCCGAGGAGACCGCTCGTTTGTTCATCGTAGCCGTTGTTCGCCTGCACGGGATGCCAGCAGTGATTATCAGCGACAGGGACACGAAGTTCACCAGCAACTTCTGGAAGAACCTCTGGGAGCAGTTCGGAACGAGGCTGCAGTTCAGTTCGTCGTACCACCCCGAGACCGACGGTCAAACGGAGCGGACGAATCAGACGATGGAGCAGTTGATTCGTGCCACATGCGACGACCCCACGACTTGGGAGCAGCAGCTGCCGCTAATTGAGTTCGCGTACAACAATGCCACGTCAGCGACGACGCAGCAGTCCCCTTTCTACCTGAACTACGGGCAAAACCCTATAGTGCCCATGACGCCGAGTCCGGAGAACCCAACACCACGTGCACAGCAATTCGCCGAAATTCTGCAAGCCGCCCGCACCAGAGCCGCAGAAGCAATTAAAAAAACGAACGTTATCGCTAAGCGCAACGCTGACCGCCACCGCCGCCCAGTCACATACCAGTCAGAAGATTACGTACTGCTCAACACGCAAAATCTGCGACTGCCCGACGTACCAAAACTTCGACCGCGCTACTGTGGCCCATTCCAAATCAGCCACATGATCACGCCAGTAACCGCGCACCTACTGTTAACGACCGACTGGTACATCAGCCCTTCGTTCCATGTCAGCTTGCTTCGCCCCTACATCCCAACCACAAGCCAACTGCCTCGCCACCGCCCGCCATTCATGGCTCGCCCTACATCGGAGCCGATCATCGAGCCCGAAAAAATCATGAGCCATCGGATTCAACACCCCACGGGAATCAAGAGGATTGAATTCCTCGTTCGGTGGAAGGATCGCACGCCAACTGAGGACAGCTGGGTGCCCCTGGCCAACATCGAAAACCACCCTGCCCTGTAAGTGTACATGAGGAGCCGGGGATTCCGCGATATACACGCACTTGCGTAGCGGAGGGGGCTTCTTGAGGGGGGGGGGGTAGTGTAAGGAATTTTCTCGGCATTCCTTACGGAGCCCGACTACATCGCGTACAGCAACATCCGTTGTTCGCCCGTTACTGCTAACGGGGCTTCGCCGACTTCGCGCGCACTGTTTCACCAAACCTCGCACTGCTGGCCTGGCCGTGTCGGCCTACGCTTCGGGACTAGCCCGAGCCTCGCTCCAGGGTAGCACTAGCTAGCTCACACGCACCGCGTTACCGTTTGCATGTTTCGCATATAAATGTTCGCTCATGCCTTCGCTCACATTTTGTACTCGTTTGACACCTTGTGCAATTCTCGCTACTTCGATTCATTGCACCCGTAACAGGAGGACACAAGGTCCATGCAACCGTCTCTCCATCGCCACTGGCTCGCGAACAAGCGATTCCTGGTATCCGCCGTCGCGTCTGGAAACTATCTGAACGGGTGTGACAGAATCGGTGCCCGACACAGTTAGGCCAAACTAGCACAGCCAAACTGCTATTCCTTCACCCATCGGTTTCTCCAGTTCATTTCAGCGGTTTCATCCTAGTGCCTAGTTTCCTAATCCAACTTAGGAGTTAGCGCACGGGTGGCTGGTACCTCCTCTAGATACCGTGATAGCGGGCATATATCCATGGTGCACTGATTCTCTTTCGCAAGTTGAATAGCGCATAGCAAGCAGACGTCGCGAGTTACCATGGATTCCAGTCATTCGCAGCGTGCTGCGCAAGCGTCCGTCTCGGACCCCTTCTTCGATCTGCTCCAGCCATCCTCCGCTGCCTCTAAGCCCGCGCATGCCGCCACCGCGTCGTCCGCGCTCACCAGCGGATCCCCGCCGTCCAACGACCCCGCGTCGCCGTTCGTCCGCTCCCTCAGTCCTCCCGCCGAGTCGGCTTTCGCAGGCTCCGCGTCTCGCGGTGGCATGACAAGCTCGTTTCCCGAATCTGGAAAGCATGGGAACAACACCGGCGGTGGTGGGACTAGTGGCGGTCTTGTTTCAGGCTTGTCAGAACTTGCTGGTGGTGGTGGTGCTGGTGCTGGTGGCTCGTCCTTCAATTTCCTCAGCTCCCAGGTGTGTCTACGCTTATTTCTGATCGCTCCCTCACTCTCTTATTCTTTTTGGCCTCTTTCTGAGCGTCCTAGATTTGTGCCGTTTTGACATCTCGGTTGAAATTACTCTGTCTCCTTCTCGAATTCCGCACCCTCAAGGGCCTTAGCTCAGCGGCCGTAGCGCACGGAGAGTACTTCCTTATCGAACGCGCGTTTCTTCTCTTCCTTATCCACGCCCTTGTTGAGCCCGCTTATCTTCCGCCTCTGTCCTTCCGCATGGAGAATTCTCAAGAACCAAACAGTCTCTTGTAACGGTCCATCCGTTGCGCCTCTCAACTTCTGTCTCTCTCGCTCCGCGTGGTGCCCCTCTCTCCATCCCTTCTTATCACTTGACCCACATCCGCTCCCCTATTTTCCCTAGCAACCAGAGGGTATCTCACCCGCTTTCCACATTCCCTTTTTCTCACCCGCTCCCCGCTTTCCTCTCCGCCTCCCGCTTTTTCCTGCCAACCAGGGCCCAACCCACTCCCAACCTCAGCATCCCTCACCCCCTCATCCATCCTTTTCCACTGGAGACGGGGGCATGGGCGGCGGCGGAATGGGGCGTGCTAACCTGGGAGGAGGGGCCAGCATGGGGGGGGGAGAAGGGGGAGCGGGAGGCGGCGGAGGCGGGGGAGGCGGGGGAGGCGGGGGGGGCGCGGGGATGCGCGCAGCAGCAGCAGCGCGCGCGCCAGCGACAGCAGGGGACGTGGCGCAGGTGGCAGCGGAGGTGACGTCCGCCATGGAGCGCCTGCTGCACCGCTTCTCTGAGGGCGTGTCTGCGGCCCTGGGGGACGCGAGCAGCAGGGTGCGGCGCGTGGAGGCGGCAGTGGCGGCACTGCAGGGCGCTGTAGACCGTGCTGCAGGGGATGACGGGGAGAGGCACGCTGAGCTGGATGGGAGGCTGCGATCCGTGGAGAACGTGCTTCTGGAGGTGAGTGACTGTAGTGAGAGTTTGTGAAGCAGCCAGGTTACAGCTTGTCTATGGTTTTGTAAGGTGAGCACCAGCGGAGGTGACGTCCGCCATGGAGTGCCTGCTGCACCGCTTCTCCGCGGGCGTGTCTGCGGCCCTGGGGGACGCGAGCAGCAGGGTGAGGCGCGTGGAGGCGGCAGTGGCGGCGTTGCAGGGGGCTGTGGACCGTGCTGCAGGGGATGACGGGGAGAGGCACGCTGAGCTGGATGGAAGGCTGCGATCTGCAGAGAACGTGCTGCTAGAGAAAGTAGCTGCAGTTCAGAGTGATGCGAGCGAGGATTAGGTGCTGCGCTGCGCAGTCTGCAGGTGATATAGGACAAGCACCGCATGGCCACCCACCGACTTTTGAGGCGCCTCAAAAGTTGGTTCCTGTCTCGCGGTTTTTATGTGGGGAGAATTATAATCGCAGTCTGCAGGTGATGTGCGACAAGCACCGCATGGCCACCCACCAGAAAAAAGTAGCATGCACCACCCTGCCCCCTCCCCGCTTGCCCCCCACCAGGTGCAGCGCGACCTGGCGGAGGGGGTGTGGTGGGGAATGGTAGAGAAAGGTATATGAGAGACTCGGCCAACATGTGGGGCAGTGCAATGGCAGTGCACATCTCCCCCAGGGCTTCTCAACACGGAGTGCTTAGACAGGAAAGTAGCGCGGTGGACAGGTCGCTCACCTCAACCGGGTAGGTCGAGTAGGTCTTGCATGGGTCGGCCTGGCTTGATGTCAATCCAGCCGCCTCATTCACGATCCATTGCTGCTGTTCAGGCGTGCGCGGCGTGTTCCGTGCCTTGACAGCAACTAAATGCTCCTGGTGTAGCACGGGGGGTGGGATGGGATGAACTGGTAAGGGTGAAAAAATTAGGAGGTCCGTCATGTGACAGTCAGATGACGATGGCGATGAAGGCGTTCACATGGCATGTTTGCTCACCTTTGCAGCATAGCAGATGCTGCACGGCATCCGCGATCCATGCGAGAGTGTGCAACTAATCTTGCCGCTCTCGGGGTAGTCGCACACCCAGGCGTACAGCAGTGGCCGCACTGTTTGCCAATCACCGAAAGGGTCCCTGAGACGGAAGCCGCTGCAAGGAACGGGTAGAGTGGTAACGTCAACAGCCATGACGACTCTGTGCATCAGCGAGGAGGGGCAAAGGGTAATGCAACATACAAAAGCGCTGCGCACACTATGCTGTGCACACGGTGACGACATAGCATGACGGAAATCGAGTACGGACCTGTCCATGCCATCCAGAAGCGGCTGCAGCACGGTGAGGACGCATCGCTGGAAGAGCATCACCTTTTCAACAGCAGACATTGCCGAAGGGGGGATAGGAAGGAGAGCAAGTAGCGTGTGCCCGGCTTTCCCCCATCGCTTGGCCTGGGAGATGTTGGCAAGCGTCATCATGAGCGGCCACGCCTTCTTCCGGCCGTTGTTGCTCATGTGCGTCACATCCGAATATAGGATGATACCCCCCACGACTTCGGACCATCCGAAGTGTTCCTGCATGCACGGCGGGACAAGAAGGAGCTAGCAGAGGCTCAGGCGGCACTTTCCACCCTGCCTGACCCCCTCCCCACCAACTCCTCTTCCCCCTTCCCCGCGTGCCCCCCACCAGGTGCAGCGCAACCTGCAAGTGATGCGCGACAAGAAGGAGCTAGCAGAGGCGCAGGCCAAACTCTCCCTCACCTTTCCCTCATTTCCTGTTTCCCCCCTGCCCACCGCCTCCCTGCCTGCCCCCTCACCAGGTGCAGCGCAATCTGCAGGTGATGCGCGACAAGCAGGAGCTCGCAGAGGCGCTGGCGGAGCTCTCCCCCACCTTTCCCTCTTTTCCTGTTTCCCCCCTGCCCACCGCCTCGCCGCGTGCCCCCCACCAGGTGCAGCGCAATCTGCAGGTGATGAGGGACAAGCAGGAGCTCGCAGAGGCGCCGGCGGAGCTCTCCCCCTCCTTTTTCCCCTGCCTGCACCCCAATCCTGCCCGTTCTCCCCCGTACGCCCCCCCTCCTTGCATGTCAACCCACCAGGTGCAGCGCAATCTGCAGGTGATGCGCGACAAGCAGGAGCTCGCAGAGGCACAGGCGGAGCTCTCCAAGCTCAAGTTCCTCGCCCTCCCCGCCCCCCCCCTCCGCCTCCTCCTCCGCCTCCGCCTCTGCTGCCACTGCCGCTGCTGCTGCCCCACCAGCAGTGGTCGAACCAGCAGCACCAGCAGCAGCGCCAGTGCCGGTGCCTGCTGCTGCGTCTGCCCCTCCCGCTCCTGTCCCATCTGCGCCCCCTGAAGCCTCTGCGCCCCCTCCGCCTTCCCCCAGCCCCTCTCCCGCGCCTCCTGCCCCTGCGCCTGCTCCTCCCCCTCCTCAGTACCAGGCACCCGCGCCACCACAGCAGCAGCTGCCGCAGCAGCAGCAGCAAATTATGCCGCCTCCTCCTTCCATGTATTCCCAGCAGCAGCAGCAGCCACAGCAGCCACAGCAGCAGCAGTCCTATGCTCCTCCTCCCCCACCTGCTCCTGCTGCTGCTGCACCACCGTATTTGCAGCAGCAAGGTGGGTATAACATGCAGCCGCAGCAGCAGCCTCAACAGCAGCAGCAGCCGCCGCAGCAGCAACAGCAGCCGCAGCAGCAGCAAATTCAGCCACAGCAGCCGCAGCAGCAGCAACAACAGCCGCAACAGCAGCAGCAGCAGCAGCAGCAGGGCGGGCAGCAGATGTACCAGGCACCGCCACCACCACCGCCCATGGCACAGCAACCCCCTCCGCCTTACACCCCCCAGCAGCAGCCCGCTCCTCCCCCTGCTGCCTCTGCTCCTGCTCCCCCTCCATACGGCTCCATGCCCCCCCCTCAAGGCATGTACGACCCTTCTGCCGGTGCTGCTGCCGCTGCTGCCACTGCTGCTGGTGCTGCTGCTGCAGGAGGCATGTACTACCAGCAGAACGCACCTCCCCCTCCCATGCCCCAGCTACAGATGGCCCAGCAGATGCCCCCGCCTCAGATGTCCCCTCAGGGGCCTCCCCAGATGCACTCTCAGATGCCACCTCCACCAGGTGTTCCCATGCAGGCACAGCAAGCGCCACAACCCCCCCAGCAGTACATTCAGGGGCAAGGGCTTTCCCCCCATCACCCCCCTCCCCCTCCCATGTATGGCGCCCCCGCTCCCCCTCCCCCCGCACACCCTTCCCCTCAGCCCCAGGGTATGTATCGGGTTGCCCAGCCTCCCCCCCCGTCCATCCCCCCTACTGCCGGTCCCCCTAGTAGTTATAGACGCTTACCCATGGCACAACCTGTGAGCGGTGGTGGTGGGGGAGGGAGGGGTGGGAGCGGAGGGGGAGGGGGCGGAGGAGGAGGGGGAGGTGGGGGAGGGGGGGGTGATACAGCGAGAGTGCCTTTAGAGAAGGTGGTTGATGACGTGGCAGCTATGGGATTCCCAAGGGATAAGGTGCGCATGGTGGTGCAGAGGCTTATGGAGAGAGGCAAGTCGGTTGATCTGAATGCTGTGATAGATGAGGTGATGAATGGAGGAGGGGGAGGAGGAGGAGGGGGAGGGGGGTGGTACGGGCGGTGAGAGAGGGAGGAAAGGCGATGGTGGCTCATGGTGGTGCAGAGAGGCTTATGGAGAGAGGCAAATCGGTTGATCTGAATGCTGTGATCGATGAGGTGATGAATGGCGGGGGCGGGGGCGGGGGAGGAGGGGGAGGAGGAGGGGGGTGGTATGGGCGGTGAGAGGAGGAAAAGCCTTAGTGGTGGGTCATGGTGGTGTAGAGGCTTATGGAGAGAGGCAAGCCGGTTGATCTGAATGCAGTGATAGATGAGGTGATGACTGGCGGAGGGGGAGGGGAAGGAGAATGTTTGGTACGGAGGGGGAAAGTTGGTGGCGTTGTAGCGATGATAGATGAGGTGGTGAATGGAGGGGGAGGGCTAGTGGCAGGTGAAGGGGGGTGGTGGTGTGGGTGGTGCAGTGGAGAGGTGAGTGGGATGGTTGACCATGGAAGGTGCTGGGAAGGTACAGTTCTTGTTGATTGATGGAAGGTGAGACAGGAGGCAGAGTGTTTGTGAATATTGGTGTGGGCGGTGGTTGTGATGGTAAGAATGGAGAAGTGTTTGACGGTACCAGTATCTTGAGCTCTTGACTTGTGATGCAGGACACATCATACTCGCTGTAGACATATGAGACTTTGATTTCTATCTTGTTGCTGTCCATATAACCACGACTCTCTTTAAATGTGATGCACGCATACAGCTGGAATTGCAGTATCACCCAGTAAAAGCAGCTGCAATGCACCTGTTGCCCTTCATGTGGCATGCTGCACAGAAGTGGATGTGATGCTCTGTCAAAATGTATAGAGCAATATATATTAGTAATAAAAAAGGGGTAACATATATACTCATTAGAATAAATGTACATGTCATTTCACTATGTAGAACCCACAGCACACCTCACTTCGTCAAGCTTTCACGCACAACTGCTTATCGGCAGTGGGCTTAAATCCCCTAAAGCAATCACAAGACGGGTTCCGGCCGCCACCAAACCAGCAGTACCCCTTCCCACCGCACGTGTTCGTATCCGCGTTACAAAACCGCTTACACACATGTGTAGGCACTTGCACCTGCACAAGCCCAGCCTTCTCACAGGGGCTCCCAACAGGATAAGTGAGGCAGTTCTTGGCAAGTGAAGACTCAAAGAACACTCCTGTGTAGGTGTGGTTGACGGGGCAGAAGGACCGTCCCCCTGCGGTTACCACTGCTGGGCCATTGAAGAAATTGTTACGCAGGTTGTACTGGCCGTAATCAATGAAACGAGTGCTGGGGAAGTTGGTGGGGAGAGGGCCTGTCAACAGGTTGCTGTGCAGGTTGCTGTGGGGGGGGGAAAGAGGGGGGAGGGGTGTGGGTGAAGGGGACACAGTGTGATTGTGAGTGGGAGCGAAGGGAAGTGGAGCGGGTGGGTGGGGGCAGGGGGAGGAGGGAGAGTGGAGCGGGTGGGTGGGGGTGCGTGGGGATGTGAGAGATTGTTCCCACAACAAGCAGAATCTGCACCAAGTGCCCACGGCACTCAATGCAGGTGGGATTGCACTCACAGATAGGCGAGCTTGGGCAGCTGGGATATGCCCCAAACTCCACTGCAGCAACTGCAGCAAGCATATTCTGGAACAACCGGCTAACAAGGACGCTGCAGGTGGGATTGCACTCACAGGTAGGCGAGCTTGGGCAGCTGGGATATGCCCTTGGGGAACGTGCCATAGAGGAAATTGCGCTCGAGGTACCTGTAGGAAGGGGTGGGGATCAGGGGGAGAGGGAAGAGGGGGTTCAGGGGGAGGGAGGGGTGGGGAGAGGAGGATGTTCAGACAGCAGGGGGAAAGAGAAAGGGTACGAATGCGGCTGGGGATCTGCGATGTGTGACGATGTGTCTTTTTTCACATTGACACCAGCTGTCTGTGTCTCGTAAAATATGAAAGAACTTTTGAGTCGATTAAGCAGACCGAGTCTGTGTCGTGTCTGCATAGGATTTTTAGTGAAATCTGCACCAGTTGAGTCTGTCTCTCTTACAGGATGGTAATGTCTGTGAGTCTGCTGAGATTCTCCGGCACTATGCCACGGAAATAGTTGTTGTCTAGCAAGCTGGGGGGAACAGGACGGGTGGTAGAGGGGAGGGGTGGGGAGGAAAGCACAGCTTGAGGCGAGGTTGGGAAAAAGAAAGAAAGAGAAAAAAAAGGAGAAAAGAATGAATCATACAAACATGGGAAGAGGTTGGAAGTGATGTGGAGGATCACCCAAAAGTCACTTGAGGCACCACCGACCGACACAGACAATGTACAGCTGTAAAGCACAGGTATATTCTGGACGATTGGAATTGCATTTACACCTGCTATGCAACTGTGGGAGGTGGTAGGGGTGGAGCGTGCTTGAAGGGTAAGGGAGGGAGGGAGGGGGGGTTGAGGGCGGGGAGAGGGGGGCATATTACAGTCGCTGCAAGCGCGTGAGGCGGGTGATGGATGGTGGGATGGGGCCGCTGAAGTTGCAAAACTCCATCACCCTGGTGGGCATGCGCAGGGAAGAGGGGGTGGGGGACAGGAGGGAGAGGGAACGATGGGAGTGAAGATTAGGGGAAGAGTCTGGGAAGGAGCATGGATGGCGGGATGGGATCGCTGAAGTTGCAAAAATCCATGACCCTGAAGGTCAGGTGTGGAGAGGGGCAGGGATGGGAAGGGGTGGGCAGGGGTGGACAGAAGTGAGAAGGGGTGGGCAGGGGTGGACAGAAGTGAGAAGGGGTGGGCAGGGGTGGACAGAAGTGAGAAGGGGTGGGCAGGGGTGGACAGAAGTGAGAAGGGGTGGGCAGGGGTGGACAGAAGTGAGAAGGGGTTGGCAGGGGTGGGATGGGACCGCTGAAGTTGCAAAACTCCATGACCCTGAAGGTCAGGTGTGGAGAGGGGCGGAGAGGGGAGGAGGGGGGTGGACAGAGGTGGACAGGGGTTGGAGAACGGGCGTGAGGATCAGAGGCAGGAGGGCTTGGGAGGGATGGATGGTGCAATGGAATGGTGGATGCAGGCAGCGGCACTTGGGGATTGTGGGTGGGAGGCGGGGGAGGGGAGCTGAGCGGTGGGGAGAAATGAGGGGAGACGCGTATGACTGGCGAGCACAGACATCAACCCCAGCACCCCCAGCACCCCCCAGCATCCCTAGCACAGCACCCCCCAGCAGCCAAAGCACCCCCAGCAGCCAAAGCACCCCCAGCAGCCAAAGCACCCCCAGCAGCCAAAGCACCCCCAGCAGCCAAAGCACCCCCAGCAGCCAAAGCACCCCCAGCAGCCAAAGCACCCCCAGCAGCCAAAGCACCCCCAGCAGCCAAAGCACCCCCAGCAGCCAAAGCACCCTCAGCAGCCAAAGCACCCCCAGCAGAACTGACAGGTCCGTGAGGCCAACCATGTTGCTCAGATTGCGCGGCAGCCTTTTGAGACATCTCTAGAACCGACTTTTGAGACGTCTCAGAAGCACTCCCAGCACTCCCAGCACTCCCAGCACTCGCTGCACTCACAGGTCCGTAAGGCCAACCATGTTGCCCAGATTGCGCGGCAGCCTGCCTGTGAGCTTGGGATTGCTGCTCATGAAGCTGTGGGTTGATAAGACGACGACAGGAAGAGGGGCGCAGGGAGGATAGAGGTTCTGGATTGGTGCTCCGATCGCTGTGTGATCAAGGAAGGAGGGGGCGGCGAGATGAAAGAAGAGAAAGAGAGCAGGGAGCATGGGAGCACGGGAGCATGGGAGCATGGGAGCATGGGAGCATGGGAGCATGGGAGCATGGGAGCATGGGAGCATGGGAACACGTACAGGATACGCAGCTTTCTTAGGCGGGTGATGGTGGCGGGGAGAGGGCCGGCAATGCTGTTCTGGTTAATGAACCTGCAAAGGAGGGATGGAGGAAAGGAGTGAGAGTGGGTTGAGAGGGGTGAGAGTGGGGTGAGAGGGGGAGGAACGGGGAGAGGGCCGGCAATGCTGTTCTGGTTGATGAACCTGCGGTGGAGGGAAGTGGGGGGGGTGAGAAGGGGGAGAGGGAAGACGCGAGGAAGGTGAGAGGGTGGAGGGGGGGGGGTTGGGTTGCAGGGGGCTAAGAGGAGTGATAAGGGGGGTGCGTTGCTTGCAAGCAGTGGGCAGGCAGAGGAGTTGAGAGGAGTGAAGAGCGGTGGGCTCACAGGTTCTGCAGGTTGGTCATGGTGCCAATGGAGTTGGGCAGCCTTCCTGTGAACCGGTTTGTGTCCACATACCTGGGGTGGGTGAGACACATGCATGGGGGTGGGGGGGCATGAGTGGGGGGCGGAAATGAGGGTGACGATTGAGTATACAAGATAATAATAACAATAATAACAATAATAACAATAACAACAACAACAATAATAATAATAATAACAATAATAACAGTAACAAATTTCCAGCTTACGTGTCGAGTAGCTTAATTCAAAATAATTGATTGACTCCAGTGGATCTCATGTAGCATAGCAGCTCAACCTGTGAGATTGGCTTTAGTGGCTCACTCACATGTAGCAAAGCAGCTCAACCTGTGAGATTGGCTTTAGTGGCTCACTCACATGTAGCAAAGCAGCTCAACCTGTGAGATTGGCTTTAGTGGCTCACTCACATGTAGCAAAGCAGCTCAACCTGTGAGATTGGCTTTAGTGGCTCACTCACATGTAGCAAAGCAGCTCAACCTGTGAGATTGGCTTTAGTGGCTCACTCACATGTAGCAAAGCAGCTCAACCTGTGAGATTGGCTTTAGTGGCTCACTCACATGTAGCAAAGCAGCTCAACCTGTGAGATTGGCTTTAGTGGCTCACTCACATGTAGCAAAGCAGCTCAACCTGTGAGATTGGCTTTAGTGGCTCACTCACATGTAGCAAAGCAGCTCAACCTGTGAGATTGGCTTTAGTGGCTCACTCACATGTAGCAAAGCAGCTCGACCTGTGAGATTGGCTTTAGTGGCTCACTCACATGTAGCAAAGCAGCTCAACCTGTGAGATTGGCTTTAGTGGCTCACTCACATGTAGCAAAGCAGCTCAACCTGTGAGATTGGCTTTAGTGGCTCACTCACATGTAGCAAAGCAGCTCAACCTGTGAGATTGGCTTTAGTGGCTCACTCACATGTAGCAAAGCAGCTCAACCTGTGAGATTGGCTTTAGTGGCTCACTCACATGTAGCAAAGCAGCTCAACCTGTGAGATTGGCTTTAGTGGCTCACTCACATGTAGCAAAGCAGCTCGACCTGTGAGATTGGCTTTAGTGGCTCACTCACATGTAGTAGAGCAGTTTGAGTCGGCTCACGCAGGGGGGAATGGAACCCTCAAAGTGGTTTCCGCTGATGCGCCTGAGAGGTGCAAATGGAGGGGATTGGGGATGTAACGGGATTAGAAGTAGTCAATAACATGCAAGGGAGAGTGAGTCGGCTCACGCAGGGGGGAATGGAGCCCTCAAAGTGGTTTCCGCTGATGCGGCTGAGATGCGCAGAGGTGAGGGGTTGGGGGTGTGTGGGGATGGGGAGAGGGGCAGGAAACGGAGGAGTGGGCAGGCAGAAGGGGATTTTTGAGTCGACTAAAAAATCGACTCATTACAAGAGTGGGCAGGCGGGAGGGGATGGGAGGGGGGAAGAGGGGTGACAAGCCGATGCGGCTTCAAAAAGGCACCTTCCTTCATATAATCTCCCACAGCAGTCACTCGCAGTACTGGCAGCACTTAAAAATGTCTGAGCGTGGTCATGGTGCATGTGGCGCTGGGGAAGGTGCCGATAGGAGGTTGGACGACTCGAAGCTGGTGACACAACACTCACAGCTCACGGCACTCCCAGCACCCACACCACATCACTGACAGCACTCGGCACACTCACAGCTCTCAGTGCATGTGACGCTGGGGCAGGTGCTGATAGGAAATTGGACGACACTAAGCTTTCCTGACTCGCTGAGCATCAACACGCTGAGCACTCACAGCAGCACCCTCACTCAGTACTCTCGGCACTCAGCAGTCGCCACACTCACAGCTCTCGGAGAGTGGTCACGGTGCAGATGAGATGACGCTGGGGAAGGTGCCGGGTAGGAGGTTGGACGACACAAGGCTCAAAACACACTCTTGAGACGTCTCAAAAGGTTGGACGACACAAGGCTCAAAACACACTCTTGAGACGTCTCAAAAGGTTGGACGACACAAGGCTCAAAACACACTCACAGCTCACAGCACCCGCAACAGCACTCCCAGCACTCTCGGCACTCCCAGCAATGACAGCACCCCCAGCACTCTCAGCACTCCCAGCAATGACAGCACCCCCAGCGGCACTCACAGCTCTCGGAGCGTGGTCATGGTGCAGATGACACTGGGGAAGGTGCCTGATAGCAGGTTGGACGAAACAAAGCTGGGGGGGAGAGGAATGGGCGGAAGGGAAGCAAGCATGGGGGAGGTGAAGCATGAGAGAGGTGAAGAAGAGGGAAGAAGGGAGGAGGGGAGGGGAAGAGAAATGAGGGGAGAAGAAGCACGGGGGCGAAAAGAGGGCAACAGAGGGCAACAGGGAAATCAGCGAGACCTGGAAGGGTCTGTTTCCTTGGAGGCTTAGAGGCTAGCGTGGTCTCGTTGATTTCCAGCCAGGGACGAAGAACGGGCAGACAGGCTTAGAGGCTAGTGTGACTCACAGGCGGTAGAGGTTGGTGAGTTGAGAGAAGGTGTTGGGGATACCACCCTTGAAATAGTTAATGTTTAGGTGCCTGCACGGGGATATGGCACGAGGTGGGGAGGTAGAGAGAAAGGAACACTGGTGGGGGTGCTGCTGCTTTGAGACGTCTCAAAACAACACTTTTATCACGGGGAGGTAGAGAGAAAGGAACACTGGTGGGGGTGCTGCTGCTTGGGATACCACCTTCGAAATAGTTGACGCTGAGATGCCTGCATGGGGACATGCGGTGAGGTGAGGGGAAGGAGGTAGACAGGAGGGATCACAGCTGAGGGCGCTTGGGATGCAGCCAGCTGGTAGAGGCGGAAGGGGGAAGGGGGAAGGGGTTACGTACAGCTGGTAGAGGCTGCGCAGGTTGCCAAGGACAGGCGGAATGGTGTGGTTGAAGTAGTTGCTCCACACTTGCCTGCCCGCACCCACCAGCCAGCACACACCCACCAGCGCGCGCACACACACACACACACACACACACACACACACACACACACACACACACACACACACACACACACACACACACACACACACACACACACACACACACACACACACACACACACACACACACACAAGCAAGACGGTGTTTGGAGACGTCTCAAAACGCTCTTTTATCACAAGGCCGGGTGGAATGGTGTGGTTGAAGTGGTTGCTTTGCTCCATACTTGCCTGCACGCCCCCACCAGCCAGCACACACCCACCAGCCAGCACGCACCCACCAGCCAGCACACACCCACCAGCCAGAACACATGTTACATGTACAGGTAGGCCGTGGTTGGGGTGCGGTGGGGCATGGTGCAGTGGGGCATGGTGGGTTGTGGTGCATGCATGAGCAAGCAAGATAGGGCGGACACATGACAAGTAAAAATTGGGCAACTACTGCTGCATTGTCTACTGCTGTTTCTCTACTGTTGCATTGTTTACTGCTGCATTATCCATATATATGATGCACTAAAACAATAACTGTTTCACTGTGCACTCACAGGTTCTTCAACCGAACGAGCTTAGAGAGGTTGGGGAACTCGTGGGTGAACCAGTTCTTGGTAACGAGCCTGCCAGTAACGGGGATACAGGCCAAGAGGGTCAAGAGGCAATATGGACCACTAGTAATCAATGCACGTGCAGCACACGGGGAATAGTAAGGTGAGTAGGAAACTGCTAGCGATGCTGCAAGTAACGGGGATACAGGCGAAACTGGTTGGAGTTGGAGGCATGGGCAGAAGGTGATAGGATGATGTGCAAGGGGCATGGCACTTGGTGAGCCTGTAGTTTTAGAATTCTCAAAAAGCAGAGGCAGGGGCAGAAGGTGATAGGACAGGGGGATGAGCAAGAGGCGCGGCACTTGGCAGCGGTGGAGAGGACTCACGCAAGGAGGCCTGGTGAGGAGGGAGACGCGTGGGCACACGGCTATAGCGAGTGAGAATGGGAATGAGAATGAGAGCAGGGAGGGAGGGAGGGAGGGAGGGAGGGAGGGAGGGGAGGTGACAACTTGACAAGGGGCGCAGCAATACTGACAGCTCTTCCAGCGTGGTGAGATCGCCAATGATCCCCGGCAGACTGCCACGTAGGCCCATCCCGCTCATCTCCATGCGCCTGTCCCCAGCGACGAGCAAGGGGTGTGGGGCGAGGGGCGAGGGGCGTGGGGCGAGGGGCGTGGGGCGAGAGGTGTGGGGCGAGAGGTGTGGGGCGAGAGGTGTGGGGCGAGAGGTGTGGGGCGAGAGGTGTGGGGCGAGAGGTGTGGGGCGAGAGGTGTGGGGCGAGGGGCGTGGGGCGTGGGGTGTGGGGCATGGGGCGTGGGGCATGGGGCATGGGGCATGGGGCATGGGGTAAATTACATGTGACCGCAGATGAACACAGACAGACAGAGGCAAGCTCAAACACACAGGGGCGATCTAAAAGGCGCAACTGAGGGAGCAAGCTGAAGCGGTAGTGCGAAGGGGCAATTCGAAGTGGTGATGTGACGTGATGGCAAACGCCTAAGTGGTAATGGACGGACGGGATGCGTTCGTTCATCTGCAGGCGCAGAATCAACGGACCTGATGGTGCCATCTGTCCAGCACTTGATCCGCGTCCACTGATCGCACGGCTTGGATCCGTCCCACGAGCTCAGGTCTGCCCACTTGGACCACGTGGCCTTTAGCGACATCATGACGGGCACTGGAGGGAGGGGGGAGGGGGGAGGGGGGAGGGGGGGGGGGGGGGGAGGAGGAGGAAGAGGGGGAAGAGGGCAAGTGTGGAGGGTTGAGGGGTCCGCGTACTTGGACCATGTGGCCTTGAGCGACATCTCACGGACACTGGGGGCGCGGCGGAAGAGGTGGGGAAACGGGGGGGAAGAAGTGGGAGGGGATGGGGATGGGTCCGCGTACTTGGACCATGTGGCCTTAAGCGACATCTCACGGACACTGGGGGGGGCGGAAGATGAGGAAGGAAGAGGGAAGAAGGGGAAGGGTGAGTCAGTAAAGGCACTTGGGGGTGGATTTGGGGTGTAAGGGTTGAAGGCATACGAGAGAGGCGTGTTTGAGAGAGGCGCGATTGAGCGTAGCAGCGCGACGCTACGCTGTGACTCACGTTGCCACTTGGCCACGTAGATGGGAGCCGCCATTGGGTACGCGAAGCCCGCTGACGTGGCGATGAGCGCCGCGGGATCACGGCCCGCGCCACGCGTCGCGCCAATGCCGGCGGCTCGCGCTACGTCATCGTCTTCCTCGTAGGTGGATTCTAGCTCCAAGGCCGCGTCGCGGTCGTAGGAGGACTCGAGCGCGCTGCCGATTTGGCCAACGCCGCTACTTCGATCCTGCGCGTCGTGCTGCCGCGGAAATTGCGGCGGAAACAGCGGCGGAAAATGCGCGGACGTGTCGCCAGCGCGCGCATCTTGCGGCAAGTGGAACGCGGCGGCTCGGGATGTCGCGGAGCTTGCGGTAAGGAGAAGGAGGCACGCGGCCGTGGCGGCGAATGCGGCTCGACGACGAGAGTCGACCATCGCAGGGAATTGGCGGAAGGAGTATCAAATTGTGGAGAAGCGACGCGTGATCGACTCACAGGTTGCCAATCTGGTTCTAATAGAGGATGGAAATGACCTAGCTCTGCTGGGCGAAGCCGCAACCCTCTTCACGTAGTTCCTATCATAGCTTGAAAAACTTGCTGCATGATATTGCAAGACCTAGCCCCGTCCGTCGGAGCAGGATCGTTTTCAGTGGGTCGGGGTGCGAATTTCGACAGTTATCCTATTCCGCCTGAAGTCAATTTTCGAGGCGTCTCAGAATTAGATTCCGCCTGAAGTCAGCGCGACCGTTTGGGACCTGACTAGGGGAAGGTCATAAGACTGCTAGTGGAATACTGCTGCGGGACGACAGTCGATTGGCTGGTTAGAGAATATGGTGCAAGAAATGAGGGAAGCTATGCAGTTAGCTGGACGAACGAGGAAGGAAGGTTGATGTGCTGTGTTGCCGAGCGGAGGTGGTTCATAACACCAGTTTCTCTCGCCTGCTGTCTCTCTTTCCCCCACTACACATGGCTGGAGAAACAACGTCAGCGAATGCTGGAATTCAATCCACTGGCCCAGCTCGCTGAACCACGCACAGCGGAGCACAACACAACACAACCTCCCTCCCTGTTTCTGCCAGGCAGCCGACGCGAAAGAGAAACGCGCTTCCGGTTCAGCGTTTCGGCGAGGAGGCAGGTGAAGAACGTGCCAGTCAGCGCGCCGATGAACAGTTCCCCATTCCACGCAAGTTCCGCCCGCTATCCCCCTCCCCCTTGTCCGAGCCGAACGTGCTGGTTGGGGCGTGAGGTGGAAGGGAAGTCTGTTGCCCGAGCTGGTTGTCGGTTTGTGGGTTCTCGGCGGCGCACGACGACTCGTCGGCACGACAGAGTTCCTCCGGCCATTATCTCCGCTACTCAGATTTCGCCCGAGCATGCTCTCAGGTGTAATCAACCTGGACTTTCTCAACGTTGATCGGTCTCGCTGTTTGGCACATTTCTCACGCTGGTCGAACTCATTAGGAAGTGACAAAAACAAAACCATCTACTCTACCCTCCCGACCTGGATATATGTACGGAAATTAAGGTAGTAAGAGAATGAAGCCCATATAAATCACGTGGTAGTGCTCAGTAGCGCAACCGACCGCTAAACAACGCTACCGAAAGCACTAGAAGACGCTACCGACACCTATTCGGGCATGGCAGAAAAAAATAAAACCCCTAGCGAACCTGGATGCATTTTCGAGAGGGGTCAATCCTAAACACGGAAATGAGCATTGTTTTTAGGGTTGATGCCTCCCGAGTCGCATCCCTTTCCGATGTGATATTATGTCAAGTGGGTTGCAATATATTTTCAAAAAAATTGGAGGCTTTCGGTGTTTAGGGTTGATCCTTCCCGGAAAACATATAGGTTCGCTACGGGCATTAGATTTATTTTTTTGCAAGTGCTATACTTCCTTTTTTTGAGTGACTGTTCTCAAACATGAGACAGAATAGCTTCACACTATATCAAGAAGCTGTGTTTCTGTTGGTGATTACACCTGAGAACGCCCTCAGGCAAAATCTGAGTATCGGAGATAATGGCCGGAGTTCCTCCGAACTAAAAGAAAAGCCACGACGTCAGGCAAGGCAGGTACGACCTGGGAATGATTTGTCAGGACCTGGGCATTGGCGAGGGTCACCGAAATCGATGGAGTTCGCGAACATCATCACAATAATCGGTATTCTCGCTACAAGATATCCGATGAAGATTATTGTTTCTTGTTACTGTGAGACTTCGAAAGAGAAACGTAGTCATCTTATCTACATGATTCTCGTACAATCACATTCGACAATACGATATTTGGAGGTCTCTAGGGTTCGTTTGAACATCGATTTTGGTGTTTCAAATCCTCTCGAGACTTGGCCCACGCAAACCCCACAAACTACTGTCTGCTGCACTCTCTGCTCTCACTCGCAACTTCCCGCTCAACGCTGGCGTCTCTCCGCAAAATCTCCTGTTTCTTGGTGCTTTTGCTGCTCGCCGCAATTTTTATCGTACGACATGGGAGGCCTCTCAAATTCTTGACTCTAATTTGTTGACATTTCGAGCCGCGTTTAGGAAGAAAGTTCGAGTTTTAACCTGGTAGCTTGACTCTGTCATTTCTTGTCACGCTAAGACGCGCCTCTAAGTAAGCTCCGCTATGAAAAGCAATGTAGCTTGTCTCTATTCCGCATAACGCGGAAATTAGCTTCGACCCTTCTAATTCCGCGTAACGGCTCATTTAGGACGCTAAGAACGATCCAACGAGAAAGTCACTTTCACAAGTGGTAAATTCTTGTCATGTCGTAACCCTAGTTTCGCGAGCATGACCTGTGCGACTGGGCGAAGGGTCCTCGTAGTTCGCTCAGCTCTGCGAGTAATGTTCGTTCACGAGCAGTCGCAGGAGGACGATAAGTCGAAACCGTGCTCTCAAGCGGCCTTGCGACAATGCGCGTCGCCACAAAGCCGCGACGGGCCATGCGACGAGCCTGCGACGGTCGCGTGCGACAGTACCGATCGCACGGTACCGAGCGACCGGGAGCAGACTATCGCACGCAAAGAGCCTGTCGCGTCGGAGCGTCGTCATTCGGAAAAAGGCGTCCCGTTGGCGATAGAGACGCAGGTCGCGGATGCGCAGCTCGCGCGTGTTCCGGAGCCCGTAGCGCCCCAGTCATCGCCACCTAACTCCCCGCGTTCCCCGCTGGCGGAGGCCCAGCCCGCCGCAGACTGCGCAGTGTTATCGCGGACAGAGCTCGAGAACGGAGAGCGGGAAGTAGGGTCGATTTCCGATGACTCGTCTGGTCCGCAATCTAGTTCCCCTTGTCAGCCCGACGCGGATGTCAGTCCTACGCTGGGGGCGGGGCAGTCCGCGCCGTCTGCGCAGCAGCTTCCGCAATCGCCGCGGGTGGAGTCGCAGCAGCTCCCCCAGTCTCACCCGCACGCGCAGCCTAAGCAGCCGCACGAACAGCAGGAGGAGCAGCACGGGGGGGTTATGGAGGTAATGTCAGAGCCGATCGGAGTGGATATGTCGGGTTTCTCTCATTGGGAATCCCTCTCTGCGCCATACCCGCCCCCAGCTTCCGCGGAAAGCGCAAGCCTTGTCAACCTCCCGGCGTTCGCGGGTTCCGCGGGACATGTAGGCAGAATGGGGAGCCTCGCGCTAAGCAACATGTTTGCGCTACCCTCGTCCGCCTCCGCTGGTGCGCCCCCGCTGTCCGCGTCCGCTGATTCGCTCCCCCAGACAAGGAAGAGGCCTGGGCGACCGCGGAAGTCGATCGCCCCCGCGGCTGGTAAGGGGGAATGCGGCCGCGCCGAAGGGGGGAGCGCGGGAGTGGCGGAGAGGCGGATCACCCGCGGGATCGCCGCGCGGATGAGTCTGCAGAAGCAGTTTGAGGGGGTCTCGGAGCCAGAGGGCGCGGAGGCGCGGGGGAAGGGCGCGGAGGTTGAGGGGGAAGGTGTGGGTGAGGGGGAGAAGGCGCGGGGAAGGAAGAGAGGGGTAGCGGAAGCGGATGGGGTGAGGAGATCCAAGAGGCTGAGCAGAAAGAGAGGATGGGACAGTGAGGAGGAGGAGGAAGAAGGAGAGGAAGGGGAGGAGGGGGGTGAGGGAGGAGAGGAAGAGGAAGCGGAGGAGGAAGAGGAGGAAGGAGATGATAACGGAGAGCAAGAGGAAGAAGACGGGGAGGAAGAAGAGGAGCGGTGGGATGAGGAGGGAGGGGAAGAAGCAGAGGAAGAGGGGGAAGAAGCAGGTGAAGAACAGGAGCAAGAGCAGGATGAGGAGGTGGAAGAGCAGGAGGAGGAGGAAAAGGTGGGGGGCTGGGAGGAGAGAGGAAAGGAGGGAGGAGAGGAGGGGGCTGACCAAGATGAGGGGGAAGCACACGAGGAGGACGGGGAGCAGGGGGAGGAAAGTGGGGACTTGGGAGGTATGGGAAGGGAGGGTCTGGGCGCTGTTGGTGCTGCAGCAGAGGAGGGTGGAGGTATCGCTGGGGTCGGTGCAACTGTGGCGGTTACAGTTGGGACAGGTACAACTGTGGCGGTTACAGTTGGGACAGGTACAAGTGGGGAAGGGGGGGCAGTCATGGGGGAGATTTCTGAGGGTGCAGCCGGCGAGCGTGAGGGGGGAAGAAAGTCAGCGGTTCCGGAGGGAAGAGCGGTAGAAGAGGAGGAGGGAGCAGTGGCAGTGGCGGAAGAGGGAAGGGCGGGGCTAGGGGCAAAGGACGGAGACGCGGGGTCAGGGGACGAGGTATTGGGTCTGGGAGGAACGGTGGGGGTGCACGAGGCAGGCTTGGAAGCAGGTCAGGAGGGGGCAGGGGAGGGTGAGGTGCGGGGAACAGGTGGGGGCGAGATGCATGTGGCAGTGAGGGACGGGGGTAATGATGCAGGAGGGGGGAGTAAGACAGGAGAGGGGAGTGGGACAGGAGGTGTGGAGCGTATAGCAGGTGGTGATGGGAGTGGAGGTGTGGTGGCAGTGGCGGAAGGGGGTAATGAGGCAGGAGGAGGAGGGAATCACATAGAATGTGTGGGCCGTTTGACAGGTGGTGACGGGGGAGGGGGTGTGGTGGGTGTGCCTGGGGTGGAGGGAAGCGAGCAGAACGAGGTCAGCATGGTGGGGACAGAAGGAGATGATGCCACAAGGGGGGGTGACAGTAACGAGGGGGCTTGCCTAGCGCTCGTTACTGTGGAGAGGACACTCCGGGGGTTGGACGTCATACAGCAGGCTGTAGTAAATGAAACAAATCGTGTTATAGATAGTGCAACGGAGCATGCTATAGCGAGTACAATAGAGCCTGCAGTAGAACCAGCAGAGGAGGGAGGAGGGGCAAAGCTGGGAGCAGGAGAGCGTGATGAGCTCTTGCTGATAGGGGACACTTCAGAGGAGGAAGGGGAGGAGGAGGCAGATGAAGCTGAGAAATGGACGGTGTGGGGATTCGATCTCCGATTCGATCTCAAATCTAGGGAGCAGGAGGAGGAGTATTACTATCAGTTCATGGGTCAAATGAGAGAAGCAGGAGGGGTTGGAGGGTTCAACCTACTCTTTCCTGGTTCTGCTGCTGGCCGCACCACCAACCTCTGGAAAAAAAGGTTTCTCAGGGCCAATCCGCACCTGGTTCTGGGCTGGGATTATGCGCGGCAGCAGGATTTGAACCCGGATCTTCTGGGAGCAGCAATTGCAGGGCTAGGTGCTGAGGCAACACCAGTGAAGACATTGGTTCCCTGGGCCACTGACAGTGCTGGGGTGGTGGGAGGGGAAGGAGTGAACCTGGGCGGAAGCGGAGTGGGGGGTGCAGGGCTGGCTGTCACTCCGGTTGCTGTTTTGGGAGGGGCACAGGCGGGTCAGTCTCACTTGGGGGTGGGGGGTGCAGCAGCCATACACACGCCCATGCACCCGGAAGCACTCAGACAGTTAGACCATCTGGGGGGTGTGCGCTCTGCCTCACCAGGCCTTCCAGGGACGTTCGGAACACCAGGTGCGGTTGGCGGTTCGGGAGCGGTTGGGGGTTCAGGGGGGTATGGAGCGGCAGGAGGATTTGGGGGTTCAGGAGGGTATGGGACGTCAGGAGCAGGTGGAATGTCAGTGGCGTATGGGCCGTCAGGTAAGAAGAAGCAGTACATGTGTCGCAAGTGTGGTGCTCCCAAGAGGGGCCATGTGTGCTCTGCTGACCCTGCTGCCGCTGCTGCCTACGCTGCTTCTGTTGCTGCCGCCGATGCTGCTGATGCGGCTGCTGCTGCTGCTGCCGCTGTTGGTGTTGCTCGTGCTGCTTTTGGTGGTGGAGGTGGTGGTGGTGGTGGTGGTGGTGGTGTTGGTGTTGGCGCTGGTGGTGGTGCGGCGTTGTCATTCCCAGTACGGGTTGGGGCAGAGGAGGCTGCAAGGGAGGGTTGGGGGAGGGAATCAGCAGGGAAAGCAGATGCAGCAGCGCGAGAGGCAGCAGCAGCAGCAGTGGCAGCAGCAGTAGCGGCCAGGGAGGCGGCTAGGAGGGATGCAGAGGCGCGGGAGGTGGTGAGGAGGGAAGCAGCAGCGCGGGAGGCAGAGGCAAGGGAGCAGATGATGAGAGAGGAGAAGGCGAGGAGGGAGAGTGCTGCGAGGGATAGAGAAATGAGGGCGGCTGCACGAGCCGAGGCAGAGAGACGGCAAGAGAGAGAAGTGGCAGAGCGGAAACGGGAGAGAGAAGAGGCGGTGAGACGGGAGAGGGAAGAGTTTGAGCGGAGAAAGCAGAGAGAAGAGGCTGACGCAAGGGCAAAGGCGGAAGAGAAGGCGAGAGGGGAGGGGGAAGGTGTGGGGAGGGCGGAGAGGGAAGGGAAAACGAAGGCTGCGATTATCATGAGGAGGCGTGCTGAGGTGGAAGCTAATGCGAAGGCTGCTGCTGAAGCAGAGGCGAAGGGAAAGGGTGATGCGGAGGAAAGGAGAAGGGAGGCTGCCAGAAAGGCTGAAGATGAGGAGAGAAGAAGAGAGGCCGAAAGGAAAGCCACAGCCGAGAGAGAAGCAAAGGAACAGGCAGAGGCAGAGCGAGCAGCAAAGGAAAAGGCTGATGCGGAGAGGGTTAAGGCAGAGAGAGAGGCCAAGGAGAAGGCAGAGAGAGCTAGAGTGGAAGCAGAGAGGAGGTCTAGCAGAGTGAGGGAGGCGAAGGAAAAGGCAGAGGCAGAAACGAAGGCAAGGGCTGACGAAGAAAAGGACAGATTAGAAAGGGAATTGAAAGAGACGGCAGAAGCGGAGGAGAGGACACAGAGTGAGGCAGCAAGGGGAACGGGTTCTGAGCTGGTTCAAAAGGGCGAGAGGGTTGTGAAAGTGCGGTTTGGAAGCCGTGTGGTTGCCCGGGTGGAGTCGGGAGGACGGGGGCGAGAGGGGAGTGACGGGTGTGTGAATGAGGAAGGGGGTGCAGGGGAGGGAAGGAGTGAGGGTGGAGTGGGGAAGAGTAGAGAACGGGAAAGGAGGAGAGGCAAGAGGAAGGCGGAAGGTGAGGGTGTTGGATTGGAGCGTGGGGAGAGGGGTGAGAGGGGGGAGAGGGGGGAGAACGGAGAGAGGAGGGTTAGGAGAGAGAATGGTACAGTGGAAAGAGGTGCAGAGGAGATGGAGAGTGAAGAGAATGCAAAGGCAGAGAGGAGGGGCTATGTGAATGCAGGTGTGGATGATGGTCGCAGGGATGGGAGCAGGAAGAGGGTGAAGAGAATAAAAATATTGCCTTTAGCTGGGATAGAGATGGGTGGAAGTAGGGGCAAAGAAGTGGAGAGGGGGAAGGAGGTGGAGAAGGGGAAGGAGGGGGAAAGAGGGAAGAATAGGGGGGAAAGGAGTGGAGGAAGAAGGGGAGAGGGCCGGGGGAGCAGAGGAAGGAAGAAGAGAGCAAAAGGGAATGGGGAGGAAGGGGATGGAGGGGAAGAGAGGGAGGGGGACGAATCAGAGGGGCAAAAGAGTGATGGAGAGGAAAATGGAGGTGAAGGGAATGGGGGGGACGATGATGGGGGGAATGATGGTGGGGGGAACGGTGGTGGGGGGAACGGTGGTGGGGGAAATGGCGGTGGGGGAAACGGTGGTGGGGGAAACGGTGGAGGGGGGAATGAAGGTGGGGGAAACGGTGGTGGGGGAAATGATGGTGGGGGCAACAGTGGTGGGGGCAACGACGGTGGGGGGAGCGATGGTGGGGGTAATGGGGGGGGAGGGGGCAATGGGGGGAATGACGGCGGTGGCAACAATGGGAGAGATGATAAGGGAAGCAATGGGAGGAGAGATGATGAGGAGAACGGAGGAGAAGGGGAAGGGAGGGAAGGCGAAGGGGAAGAGGATGCGGAGGAAAGAGGTGGGGAGCAAGGAGATGAGGATGATGATGTTGAAGGGGGGGAGAAGGGCGGGGCGGAGAAAGGTAATGGACAGGAGGAGGGGAAAGTGGAGGATAGAGGGGGGCAGGAAGGAAAAGAGGTAGGGAAAGTTGAAGGAGGTATAGAGGCTGGAGGGAAGGAGGAAGAGGAGGAGGAAGGGAAGGGGGAAGGAGAGGCGGAAGGAAAGGAGGAAGTAGGGAAGGAGGAAGGGAAGGAGGAAGGCAGGAAGGAGGAAGGGAAGGAGGAGGAAAGTGGAAAAGAGGAGGAAAGAGGGAAGGAGGAAGGAGAGGATGAAGGGGAGGATGAGGATGAAACAGGAAGGAAAGCGGGAGCTGAAGTGGAGGGAGCGAGGGAAATGGAAGTAGAAAAAGAGTCAGGGAAGATTCTCGATTCAGGGCAGGGTTGCAGCAGGGCAGCAGCGAGCCGCGCGGCAGCAGATTCTGGAGCCATGGGGAGGGATGAGGGCGGAGGGATGGAGATGAAAGTACCAGAACAGCAGGGGAGAGAGATGAAAGTATCAGAACAGCAGGGGAGAGAGATGAAAGTATCAGAACAGCAGGGGAGAGAGATGAAAGTATCAGAACAGCAGGGGAGAGAGATGAAAGTATCAGAACAGCAGGGGAGAGAGATGAAAGTATCAGAACAGCAGGGGAGAGAGATGAAAGTATCAGAACAGCAGGGGAGAGAGATGAAAGTATCAGAACAGCAGGGGAGAGAGATGAAAGTATCAGAACAGCAGGGGAGAGAGAAGCGGGGATGCAGCAGGGCAGTTGCGACCTCTGTGGATGCATGTGCGGGACCTGTGGGGGTGGAGGAGAGCGGAGGGAGGGGGATGAAAGTAGAGGCACATCAAGGGAGACGTTGCCAGGGTAGTGTGGATTTAAAAGGTGCAGTTGTAAGGGAGGGTGAGGGAGGAGGAAGTGGGGAGAGCGAGGGGGGCAGTGGGGAGAGTGGGGGAAAGAGTGGGGAGAAGAGGGAGGGAAGTGAGGAGAGGGAGCGTGCTGAGCAGGGCAGAAACGGGAGGGAGAACGAGAGGAAAAGGGAGGGGACAGGGAATGAGGGGAAGGGAGACGAGGGGAAAGGAGATGAGGGGAAAGGGCATGAGGGGAAAGGGCATGAAGCAAAAGCGGATGACGGGAAAGGGATTGAAGGGAAAGGGACTGAAGGGAAAGAAATTGAGCGGAAGGGTTGTGAGGAAGAGGAGATTAAGAGGAGTGGGAATGAAGAGAAGGGGAATGAGGGGAAGGAGAATGAGGAGAAAAGAGATGAGCTTAAAGCGCTTGAGGCAAAAGGGCATGTGGGGAAAGCAGATGAGGGGACAGGGAATGAGGGGAGGGAAAATAAGGGGAGTGGGAGTGAGGTGAAAGGGGATGAGGGGGGAGGGCACGAGGGAAAAGGGGATATGGGGAACGAGATGGGGGGGGGATTATGCGAGGGGAAGGAGATCTGGATAAAGGAGAATGAGGGGAAGGGGAATGAGGGGAAGGGGAATGAGGGGAAGGGGAGCGAGGGGAAGGAGATCTGGATAAAGGAGAATGAGGGGAAGGGGAATGAGGGGAAGGGGAATGAGGGGAAGGGGAGCGAGGGGAAGGGGAGCGAGGGGAAGGGGAGCGAGGGGAAGGGGAGCGATGGGAAGGGGAATGAGGGGAAGGGGAAAGGGGGAGGTCATGCTGATATAGGGGATGAGGAAAAGGGAATCGAGGGGAAGAAGGTTTATTGGAAGTGGCAAGAAGAGAAGGAAGAGGGGAAAACGACTGGGGAGAAAGGGATTGATGGAGAAACGAAGGGGTTGACAGAGAGTTCAGAGAATAAGAACAAGGATAGAGGAAAAAGGGGTAGTGCAAAGGTAATTGTGGGAAAAAGGAGTGGGGAGGAAGGGAAAATAGAGGAAGGGAAGAGGGAGGGGGAAAAGGTGGAGGAAGGGAAATTGGATGGAAGGAAAGTGGAGGAAGGGAAAGTGGAGGAAGGGAAATTGGAGGAAGGGAAATTGGAAGGGGAAAAGGTTGAAGAAGGGAGGGAAGAGGAAGGGAAGTTGGAGGAAACAGAGATGGAGGAACGGAAAATGGAGGAAGGAAAGATGGAGGAAGGGAAAGTGGAGGAAGGGAAGATGGAGGAAGGGAAGTTGGATGAAAGGAAGTTGGAGGAAGGGAAAGTGGAGGAGGAAAAGGTTGAGGAAGGGGAGGAAGAGGAAGGGAAGGTGGAGGGGGAAAAGGTGGAGGAAGGGACAGTTGAATCGACAGAGGAAACGACAGAGGAGGATGGGGTAGAATGGGTAGTAGGGGAAGGGGAGGAGGATGAGGTGAGGATGTGTGTGGAAGGGGAGGAGGATGAGGTGAGGGTGTGTGGAGAGGAGGAAGAGGATGAGGTGAAGGTGTGTGTGGAGGGCGAGGAGAAGGATTCAGAGGGGTGTGTAGAGGTGGAGGAGGAGGCAGAGGGGTGTGTGGAGGTGCAGGGTGATGCAGAGCGGTACGTGGAGGTGGAGGTGATGGTTGATGCCACGCGGCACACTGCAGGGCCTGTCCCCACGGATATAGCCATTGCTGCTGCCGCTGCTCCTACCGCTGCTACTAGTGCTGCTTGCGCTGCTGCTGGTGCTGCTGCTACTACCACTGCTTCTCCCGCTGCTGCTGCTGCTGCTGCTGCTAATACCACTGCTTCTCCCGCTGCTCCTGGTGCTGCAGCTGCTGATTCATGTGAAAACGGGTTCAACAAGGGAAGCCGCCCTGTCAAAGCCTCCTCCTCGCTCGCCCCACCCCAGGCTCTCGCTGCTTCGAGGGCACCTGTTGCTCACGGACCACCTGAGCAGCCTCACTCAACCGAGCAGCACCGCGCGGTACCTACTGCTGCGCCTCCCACATCTGAACCCTCAGGTGAACCCTCGGGTGCTTCAGCACCCAGACCTCCTGCACCAGGTGAAATGGCAGAGGCGCCCTCTGTTGCCCCAGATGCACCCCATCCCACACCAGCAGCAGCCCAACCTTCAGGTGCCTCAGGTGCCCCCACCACCACCACCACGCTCCCCTCTCGCCCCTACCCCGGCCCGACCAATGTCGAGCTGACAGCTGTCCCGAAGAACGTAAAAGCCCTCCTCGAATCCGGCCTGCTGGACGGCATCCCATTGGTCTACGACGACGGCCGTAACCGCCTGCGCGGCGTGGTAACCAGCGGAGGGGTCGCCTGCGGGTGCCGCTCCTGCAGAGGCCGGCAGGTAGTCGCGTGCGCGGTCTTCGAGGTGCATGCGGGGAGCGCGGCTAAGAAGGCGGTGAATTACACGTTCCTGGATGTGCCGTGCGCTGCGAATGCGAGGGAGGGCGAGTGCATGTCGGCTGCGGAGGCGGCTAGGCTGAGAGGCCCCTGCCTGAAGGATATTATTCTGATTGCGGGGTACGCGGCTGATCCTGCTGCTGCGTCGGCGGATGTGGAGCGGGAGATGCGGCGGGCGTTCGGGGAAGGGGTGTGGGGCAAAGGAGGGGAGGAGGTGTGGGGAGGAGGGACGGAGGGGGAGTGGAGAGGAGGAGCGGAATCCGGGAGGATGGTTCGGGTAGAGGCGGTTGGAAGGGGCTCCCCTGCTGCTGCTGCATGGTCACCTGCGGTAATCCCAAGGTCACCGGGAGGAGTAATCTCAAAATCACCTGCTGGAGGGGTGCTTCCCAAGCTGCCTGGGCCGGCTGTGTGGTCCCCTGGCAGTGGCAGCAAGGCGGCAACTGGGGGAGGGGTATCTGGCGGGGCAGGGGTGGCTGGGGGAGGTGCAGCTGGGGGCGGTGGTATGGGAGAGGGTCAGGTGCGCAAGCAGCAGGGCATGCCGGTCAGGAAGAGGTGAGTTTGGTGTAGCTGCTGCTGCTGCTTCTGCTTCTCATCCTGGCGTTGCTCTTGTCTTGTTTCTGACCAGTCCTTGCCTTGATGCATGGATGTGTGTGTGTTCGTGTGTGCTTTAACGCTTGTGGACGTGTGCATGTGTGTACGTGTGTGTTCGTCAGGGAGTCGGGGTCAACACACAAGGCATTGTTCCGACCGGGAGGCATAGAGGACGGAACCAGCCTCGGCTATTACATGAAGGGTCAGGTGAGCTTCTCCCACCTCTCCTCTCCCCGTCTCCCTTTCTTTTGGCGCCTCAAAAGCAGCGGTTATTTGCCGTGACTCAATGCTGTTGCGCCTTCCCATCTCTCCTCTCCCCGTGTGCCAGTGTCTGCTGCACGGAGTCATGCAGTGCAGTGGCATTTTGAGTTGACTACATAGTTTTGCGCCTCTCCATGTCCTTTCCTCTCCTCGTGTGCCAGTGTCTGCTGCACTGAGTCGTGCAGTGCAGTGGCATTTTGAGTCGACTACAAAGTTTTGCGCCTCTCCATTTCCTTTCCTCTCCCCGTGTGCCAGTGTCTGCTGCACGGTGTGAAGCAGGGCAGCGGCATTCTCTGCAGCTGCTGCAACCAAGTGGTGAGCACTCTTCCTTTCACATCCAACCCCCTCTCTCCGCAACGCTCCTCTCTCCATCTCTTCTCATCCTTCTCTCTTGTGTTTGTCCCGTGAATGTGATTGCAAGCGTCAAGGGGGTTTCTCCCCTTATCCGTCCCTTGATCGTCCGTTCCCCTCCTTATGTGAGGGGCGCAGATCAGCAGCTCAGATCAGCAGCTCTCACTTCGAGGCACATGCAGGGAAGGGCGCGTTCTGAGGCGTCTCAAAAATCCTCTCCCCCTCATTGCGCTGTTCCTCTCCGGTGCCCCATCCCGTTTTCCTCCTGTGGCCCATCCCCCTGTTGGTGTGAGGGGCACAGATCAGCAGCTCTCAGTTCGAGGCACATGCAGGGAAGGGCGGCCACCGCAACCCGTAAGTCCTCTCCTCTCCACACATACATTTTCATGTTTCTGTTTTTTGTTTGATTCTCAAAAATGATACCAACCAGACATATGTGCTCCTTTTGTGGTTCTTTCTGTTTTTTTTTACCAATTTCAAAGGCTCTTCTTCCTTCAAACTCCCTCCACCTTCCCTTCACCCACTCCCTTCACCCACTCCCTTCACCCACTCCCTTCACCCACTCCCTTCACCCACTCCCTTCACCCACTCCCTTCACCCATCCTCCACCTCTCCTCTGCTCACCCACCCACCAGCTACAACCGCATATTCACCGACAACGGCTACAGCTTGCACGAACTCGCAATCAGGCCCTTCAATGACACCAGCTACAATCACAGACTCCCTCACTCTCCCTTCACTGTCCCTTCACTGTCCCTTCACTCTCCCTTCACTCTCCCTTCACTCTCCCTTCACTCTCCCTTCACTCTCCCTTCACTCTCCCTTCACTCTCCCTTCACTCTCCCTTCACTCTCCCTTCACTCTCCTTCACTCTCCCTTCACTCTCCCTTCACTCTCCCTTCACTCTCCCTTCACTCTCCTTCACCCTGCTCCCTCCCGTGCCTCTCCGCACCCACCCACAGCTACAATCGCATTTTCACCGACGACGGCCACAGCCTACACGAACTCGCCATCAGGCTCGCAGCCTCCCGGCCCCCCTGCACCCCTGCCTCGTTTGCTGCTCCTGGTACTGGTGCTACCGGTACTTCTTCTGCTGCATCTGCTGGACACGGCACTGCGAGGAAGGGCAGCCTCAAGCGCGGAGGAGAATCCCGAGACGCCCGCGACTCGTGTGAGTCGAGCCCGCGAGTACATCTCAGCACAGACGGGAACGCGGACGGGCATGCGGACGGGCATGCGGACGAGTGCACCAACTGTGGCGAGGGCGGCACGTTGCTGCTCTGTGAGACGTGCCCAGGAGCCTACCACCCCGGCTGCGTGGGCCTACCCTCCATTCCCGATTCCGACTGGTTCTGCCCGACTTGCAAGCCGTCTACGGCCTTTTCAAGGCATTTGGCTCCGCTCCCCCCGAGCGTGGGGAAGGGGGAGGGCGCGCGGGGGAAGGGGCGGGGCCGGGGCGCCTGGGGGAAGGGGAAGCGGAAGGGGGAGGCGGCTGGGGGGGAAGCGGCGGTGGGGGAGGTGGTGGAGGAGGAAGGGGCGGGGAAGGGTGCGGAGGGGTTGGGGGAGGTGGACGTAGATGTAGAGCGGTGCAGACGGTTGGTGAAGGAGCTGGAGAGCGCGGGGGGAGGCTGCGTGCTGTGCCATTCCGGGTCGCACGACTTTGTCCCATCAGGTTTTGGCCCGCGGACGATCATATTCTGTGATCAGTGCGAGAAGGAGTATCACGTGGGGTGTTTGAAGGAGCATGGGGTGCAGGTGTTAGAGAGGCTGCCTGAGGGGAACTGGTTCTGCTGTGCAGCGTGTGAAGAGGTGTTCAATGCGGTGCAGATGGTTCTGGAGCGGGGAAGCATGCATTTGCCGGATCTGCCGGACTGGGAGGAGATGGAGGAGGCTCACCTGCTGGAGCCACAGCCAATGCCGCGTGCTGCTGGTGCTGCTGGTGTTGTTGTTGGTGCTGCTGCTTCTCCTTCTGTTGGTGGTGCGGCTGCTGATGATGATGCTGCTTTGCCAGCAGCAGCAGCAGCAGCATCAGGACAGAAGAATACGAGCGCCAGTACTGGTGTCTGCACCAGCCCAGCTCCCCACTGCTCAACTCCCCCGCTGCCTCCGCCTCTGCCTCCTGCCACGCTTCTCAACACGCCTCAGCAGCATAGCACCTCCTCCCAGCTTCGGGCGGCAACCTTTGACCTGACGCCGAACGCGTCCCAGGGCCGGGCGGCGCAGAGCAGGGCGCGGGGCGGCGAGCTGTCGTGGCAGGTGCTGAAGGGGCGGCGGGGGTTGGAGGCGAACGGGCTGACGCTGGGCGGCGTGTGTCAGCTGTTTGCAGAGTCGTTCGATCCGATCAAGGATGCATTCACGGGGAAAGATCTCATTCCCCTCATGGTTCGCAGGTAAGGCCCCATCCCCTCCCGTGCCGCTCAAGCTGTCTGTTTCCCTCTCTCATTGCGCTCTCACCCCCCGCTCACACCTCTCTCTCCGCTCAGTCAACCCTCCCCTACCCCGCTCTCACCCCACCAGTCGCAGCAGCAGGGAGCACGAGTTTCAGGGCATGCTGTGCTGTGTGTTGAAGCAGTGAGACCACGTGGTGTGTGCAGCCTGCATCCCTTGCCTCTCTCACCCCTCTCTCACCTGTTTCTCCCCCCACGCCTCTCTCCCCCCTCTCCCACCCACCAGTCGCAGCAGCAGGGAGCACGAGTTTCAGGGCATGCTGTGCTGTGTGTTGAAGCAGCAAGACCGCGTGGTGTGTGCAGCCTGCATCCCTTGCCTCTCTCACCCCTCTCTCACCTGTTTCTCCCCCCACGCCTCTCTCCCCCCTCTCCCACCCACCAGTCGCAGCAGCAGGGAGCACGAGTTTCAGGGCATGCTGTGCTGTGTGTTGAAGCAGCAAGACCGCGTGGTGTGTGCAGCCTGCATCCCTTGCCTCTCTCACCCCTCTCTCACCTGTTTCTCCCCCCACGCCTCTCTCCCCCCTCTCCCACCCACCAGTCGCAGCAGCAGGGAGCACGAGTTTCAGGGCATGCTGTGCTGTGTGTTGAAGCAGCGCGACCGTGTGGTGTGTGCAGCCTGCATTCGCATCTTCGGCCGCCAGCTCGCTGAGATGCCCCTCGTTGCCACTGCCTACTCGCACCGCCGCCGGGTAAGTCCAACTAAAGGCCCCCCGATCGCACCACTGGGTAAGGCCGTGAGCTCCTGTGCTTCGCTGAAATGCCCTTCGTCGCCACCGCATACTCCCACCGCCGCCGCTTAAGTCCGAGTAAACACCGCCCAATCAAACTTCCGGGTAAGGCCGTGAGCTCCTGTGCTTTGTTGAAATGCCCTCGTTGCCACCGCATACTCATACCGCCGCTGGGTAAGCCCTCTTTCTCTCCTCCCCCCCTCTTGTCACCTTCGGGTAAGTCCGAGGAGCCTTCCTAAGAAAATGGTACTGTGAGCTCCTGTGCTTTCTTAAATTGCCCCTTGTTGCCACCTCATACTCGCACCACCGTTGGGTAAGTCCAATTGCCTACATCCTCCCTCCTTGCTCTCCCTCGATCCTTCTTCCCTCTATCCTCTCTCCATCTTCCTCACCCCGCTCCCCTCTCCTCTTCCCCCTCCGTACCCTACCTGTCCCCTTCCCCACCCACCAGGGCCTGTGCAAGGTGCTGCTGAATGCACTGGACGTGCTCTTCTCTCTCCTCGGAGTGAGCAAGTTCTGCCTGCCAGCAGCACCAGGAGCAGAGGGCACGTGGATCAAGGGATTCGGATTCTCAGTCATGACTGAAGAAGAGGTCACACAGGTGCATCGGGACTTTCCGCTCCTCGTCTTCCCCGGGTCTGTCAGCGTGGTCCGGCGCGTCCCGAGCCTGCCCTGGGCCTACCGCAAGGCTGCCGAGCTTCAGGTGTTTGGTGCGGTTGGGATGGCACCGCTGCCACCACAGGAATCCTTTCCCCTGTTATTGTCACCCTCGGTACAAGACAAGTCGCGCGACGCAGTACAAGAGTCATTGCAGAGAGGGAAAGGAGAGGAGGCAGCAGGGGTTACTCGAGGGCAGGAAAGGAGTGAGGTTGATGCAGCAGTTTCGGCACAAGGCGGTGAAGCTACCGCTGGTGGTACTGGTGCTTCCATTGCTGCTCTCTGTGCTCCTGCTCTTGCTTCTTCTGCTGCTGCTGGTGCCACGGATGATCTTGCTGCTGCTGATACCGCTCGGCCTGCTGTAGTGGCAGCTGTAGCGGCTACTCCTGCAGGGCAAGTGGGGCCTGCTACAGCCGGTGTGGTGGTGATGTCTGGGGCTGGGAAAGCAGAGGGGTTGGCAGCAGAGGGCGGTGCGAAGGGTGTGGTGGTGACTGCTGGGTCAGGGGATGCTGGAGTGTTGATAGAAGCAGATGGACGGAGGGAGAGGGAGGGAGAAGGAGCAGCACGAGGAGATGAGGGTATGGGAGAGGAGAGGAGAGAGGGGAGGAGAGAATCTGAGGGGATTGGAGAGAGGAGAGGAGAGGAGGGAAGAGAAGATGAAGAGTGTGAGGTTGAGGTGGTGGAGGAGGGAGAGGGAGGGGAGGGAGGGGAGGCAAAAGAGAGGAGTGAGGGAGAGATAGAGAAGGCGGAAGGAGTGCGCGAGCCTGTGGATGATGAGGAGAGGGCGCGGCAGGTGTGTGTTGCTTGTGTGCCCTGGGAGGAAGTGACAGCAGCAGAGGAGGACGAGGAGGAGGAAGAAGAGGAGGAAGAGGATGAGGATGAAGATGAGGATGAGGATGAAGATGAGGGTGAGGAGGAGATGGATGGTGAGGAAGAGGAGGTGGTGATTGGGAAGATGCAAAGGCGTGGTGATGGGACTGGGAGGCGGGAGAGGGAGAGGAATGGGATGGTGGGGGATAAGCAGCAGGTGCCGCCACTGTTTGTGGTGGCGGTTGAAGAGAAGAGCTATGACCCGTCCGTGTGGGATGTGGGAAGGAGTGAGGAGAAGGAACCGAGAGTTAGTGGTGAGGAGAAGGGAACGAGAGTGGGTGATGAGGAGGAGGAAAAGAGGGTGAGTGATGAGAAGGAATTAGGGAAAGTGACAAGGAGGAAAAGAGGGTGAGTGATGAGAAGGGAATTAGGGAAAGTGATCAGGAGGAGGAAAAGAGGGTGAGTGATGAGAAGGGAATTAGGGAAAGTGATAAGGAGGAGGAAAAGAGGGTGAGTGGTGAGGAGGGAAGTAGGGGGAGTGATGGGGAGGAGCAGAAGGGGATATGTGACCTGGAAGGGCAAGAGGAAGAGAGGAGGAGAAAGAAGAGACACGTGTCATTTGCAAGTGACTCGCTGGGACCTGATGCGAGTGGTGCTGATGTGGGTGCTGCTGATGTGGACAGTGCTGACATGGCAGGTGCTGACGTGGCGGGTGCTGACACGGGAGGTGCTGGCATGGATGGTGTCGACAAGGGAGGGAAGAAAGAAGCAGTCCACCCTTGATCCTTCCATCTCTCCTTCCACCTCTGCTGCACGCACACGCCCTCACCACCCTACACCCGACCCCACTCACTCCCACCACTCACCACCCCATTCTCAACATACCCATTCAACCACCCATCCCTCACTCACTACAAGCACTGCAAGGATCCCAATCCCTGCAGTCGCTGCCAGCACTCCTCCCATTGAAACGCCTCTCAGTGTGAGTGACATTCCTCTGATTGAAGTGCTGCAACCACGGGCCCGTGAGTATGGCGATTACCGCGCCTCACAGGGGTGGGACCGACACACCCTCCCCATCTGCCTCGCCCTGCCTGCCCTCCCCCCTCCCCCTGCCGCTGCTGTTTTCCCTGCTGCTGCTGCCAGTGCTGCTGCCGCTGCTGCTGCTGCTGCTGCCACTGCTGCTGCTGTTGTTGGTGCTGCAGCCGGTGCTGGTGCTGCTGGTGATGATGGTAGGGTGAGCATTCAGTATGTGAGGAAGCGCAAGGGAATGGAGAGTGCTGCTGCTGCTGCTGGTGCTTCTGGTGGTGCTGCTGCTACTGCTACTGCTGCTTCTGGTGGTGCTGCTGCTGCTGCTACTAGTGCTGCCGCTGCTGCTACTAGTGCTGCTGCTGCTGCTACTGCTGGTGCGGCTGCTGCTGCTACTGCTGGTTCTGTTGCAGTTGCTTCTGTTGCTGCTGCTGTTGTCGCTGCTACTGCTGCTGTTGTTGCTACTACTGCTGGTGCTGGTGCTGTGGTATCCACAAACGAGCAGGCAGGGGAGGAACGAGAAGCGAAGCGAGCGAGGTGGGGCGATAATTCTCACGAGCAGACCAGAGGCCAGCAGCAGGGAGTGCAGGGGGGCCAGGAGAAGCAGAAGCAGCAGGAGGATAAGGGGGAAAAGGAGGAGAGATTGGGGTTGAACGAAGAGCAGTTGGGGACGAAGGGGGAGCAGTTGGAGGAAAAGGGGGAGAAATTGGGCAAAAAGGGGGAGCAATCGGAGAAGAAGGATGAGAAATTGAGGGGATTGGGGGAGCATTTGGAGGAGAAGGGGGAGCAATACGGGGAGGATTGGGGGAAGCTTCAGGGCGCCCAGGTGAAGCATGTTGACCTGGTCAAGCGACAGGGAATGCCCGTTCATGGCAGGGTCATTCCCGTGATGGCAGGCAAAAAAGGAGGACCGTTTGTGCTTTCTATCAAGCGAAAGAGACAAGAAGGGTGGAGGCATAAAAGAGAAAAGGGCTGGGGTGCGGTGCTTGGGATCGGGAGGGATCGGGAGGAGGAGAGGAAGGCAAATCGCTTAGAAGGTAATTTTCCGGAGGATAAGCACTTGGGGGGTGAGAAACTATTCGTTGTTAAAAATCGATTTGTTGTTAAACACACCGAAGAGGGATTGGAAGGTGAAGAGGAGGACGGTTTTGAGGCGGAGATTCTGAGAGCAGTGGAAGATGATGACGATGGGGTGAACACGCGGGAGGGGGGTGGCGAGAAGAGGGAGGATAGGGGGGACAGGGAGGAGAGTGAGGAGAGTGAGGAGATTGGGGGGGGTAGAGCAAAGAGGAGGCGGATTGAGAGCAAAAGCTGGGTGGGGAGAAGGAGGGTGAGGGAGAGTGGGGCAAGGAGGAGGGGGCGACGGAGGGTAGTGGAGGAAAAGGAGGAGGCGGAGGAGGAGGAGAAGGAGGAGGATGAGCAGGAGGAGGATGAGAAGGAGGAGGAGAAGGTGGAGGAGAAGGTGGAGGATGAAGAGGAGGCTGAGGAAGATGAGGAGGATGCAGATGAGAAAGAGGAGGTGGAGGGTGGGGATGGGGATGAGGAAGAGGAGGTGGAGGAAGAGTTTGAGGAGCTTTTTGAGATCGATGGGGAGGACAGAGGATGGGGCATGGCTGATGGAGGAAGGCGAGGGAAGAGAGAAGCTTTTGAGAATTCTCAAAAACCAGCTGGTGATATTGCTGGGGAGGAGGATAGAGGATGGGGCATGTCTGGTGGAGGAAGGCGAGGGGAGAGAGCAGCAAGGGCGAGACGAGACGGTGGCAGGCGCGATGATGGTGTGGGGAGGAGCAGGATGGAAGCTGAAGAGGTGGAGGAGGGGCGTGGAGAGGAGGAGGGGAGTGGTGGATGAGGAGGGGAGTGGAGAGGACGGGAGTGGAGAGGAGGGGAGTGAAGAGGGGGAGTGGGGTGGGAAGGAGGAAGTAAGTAGCATGAGTGGGGAGGGACGGCGAGGGGAGAGGAAGCAGACCGGGTTGGATCTTCTAATGAGGCGAGCAAGTGAGAAGGATGAGAAGGACGGAGAGAAAGGGGTGGAGGAGGGTGGGAAAGGTTTGATAATGGATATTGCAGTGGAAGGGGTGATGGACGGTGTAGTGCGGTTGAGAAGCACAGAGGAGGTGACCAACGCCGCAGTGCGGTGTGGGGAGCGGGCGGGCGGGGGTGCTCGTCGTGCGAGGAGAGGGAGGAGGGCGGCACAAGGAGAGAGAGGTTTGTGGCGACGGGGACTGGAATGGTGGGTACGAGAGTGCGGTTTGTGGGGGACAAGGCAAAATGGGGGAAATTAGAGGCGAAAAGAATCAGGAGGATGGATTGAAAGAGGAGGAAGAGGAGGACGAAGAAGGGGGAAAAGGAGGAAGAGGAGGAAGAGGAGGAAGAGGAGGAGGAGGAGGAGGAGGAGGAGGAGGAGGAGGAGGAGGAGGAGGAGGAGGAGGAGGGGAGGAGGAGGAGGAGGAGGAGGAGGAGGAGGAGGAGGAGGAGGAGGAGGAAGAAGAGGAGGATGTATATGAGCCTGATGATCGAATTGCTGCTGGGTCAGGGAGGGGGAGAGGGAGAGGGAGGGGCAGGGGGAAGGGGGAGGGGTAGGGGGAGGGGGCCGGGGCCTGGGGCAGAGGTAGAGGCCGAGGCAGAGGGAGGGGCAGGGGCAGAGGAAGCGGTATGACAAGCGCGAGAAGGGAGAGAAGATGAGACGTGAACAGGAGGGAGTGGATGGTGACTCAATTGATGAAGCAAGCGGTGGCGAAGGAGAGGAGGAGGGGAGTGAGTCTGGGGAGGAAGAAGCAGAGGGGGAAGAGGACTGCTATTCGCCTGAGGGGAGAAGTACCATCCGGTTGGGGAGGGGGAGAGGCAGGGGGCGGGGAGGGGGAGAGGTCGGGGCAGAGGCAGGGCAGGGCAGAGGGAAGGGGAGGGGTGCTGAAAGGTACTGATGGTGCTTATAATGATGGTGCTTATACTGATGATGCTCTTGGCCGGCCTGTGGAAGATGCTTCAGGGCTTGGGAAGGGTGAAGGGCAGGAGAGTGGGGAGAGAGGCGGTGATGGGGAGGGAGATGATGGATCGGGGAGTGAGAGTGAGGGCAGTGAAAGTGATGAGGGTGATGGTAAAGGGGAGAAGCAGGGGTAGGGAGAGGAGTTGCAGTGGGGGGGATAGGAGGAGCAGTGGGGGGATAGGAGGAGCAGTTGATGGGTTGGAGAAAGGGAGGGAGAGAGGCCAGGGGGTAAGGGAATGGTAGCGGGCTAGGGAGAGGGCGAGGCAGGGGGGTGGCTATAGGGGGGGTGACTGTGGGAAGAGGGTATAGGCAGCAGGTTATGTTCGCCGGGCAGAACGGCAAGTTGGAGCTAAGAACAAAGCCGGATTGACTCCTTTAAAATCTATTTCCTCACAGTTCTTTCGTACCATTTGGAGCTGACATACAGTAGTGTAAGCAATGGCACCAATAAGTGATGAAATAATTAACATGTGGCCAACATGAATCCTCCCTACCTCAGCACCCCTGCAATTCCACCCCTTCCCTCTAGAACTAGGGCTACTGTCCATTGCCAACGAGTCTGGACTGAATGGTGAACATGATGAACCCTGCCTTCTTACTGCCTCAGAATCAGAACAACTGTCCTGAAGGTGGTCACTAAAGATCCCACCCAAGGGATGGTACTGTATCAGGGCCCACGTTATCAGTGTAAATCACCCTGATGCCCTGATTAGAAGGGTGATTTTGGTTAGTACCGTAATCCCCCGGATAGAAGCGCAGGCCTCAGATAAGCGCCGGCGCTTATAAAGAGATGAGGGCGCTTATATCCGGTCCTCGATAATAAGCGCACCCCCTAAAAATTTGTGATTTATTATAAGCGCATGTCGAATATTATATGAAAATCAGTCGAAATACAGAAACGAAATTCCCCTTACCAGGTAAGCGAAGTACAGTTCCACTTTCCCACTCACATCACACTTGCTGCGCGTCTAGTCAGCACGCGCTGTCGCTTAGTCAGCATGTGTTGGCAGGGAATCAATCCCTGCTAAGTTGCTCGAGAGTCAGATTCGCGACCCCATATATTTTCGACTCGATTACACTTGGAAGAACGAGATCTACAGTTTGGTGTTAAAAAAAACTTTAATTTCACTTTGCCGTTATATAAACGCCGGCGCTTATAAATTTCCTCAATATAAGCGCACCCCTAAAAAACAGTGTTTTATTACAACCCAGGGGCGCTTCTACCCGGGGTATGACGGAACACTGATGCTGTTGGGCAGGCCTCTGGATATCAGGGTAAATCACCCTTATAACCCTTACTATAAGGGTGGGTTTAGGTGTTCACCCTTATTTTGCAGAGTTGTATTTTAGGGCGCCCTTACTGATATTTCTGACCGACCTGGTGTACTTGCCCTGATGACTAAAGGTAGTGCTGGGTACAACACTGAAGCGATTTTTCTTTGGGGGGGGGGGGTTCACCGACGTGATTTTTGCCGCGATTTAGCGGCGATTTTGCCCGAGTCACAAGAGTTGCGCGTCGCCAAGACCGCTCGCGACGTCATAGCCACAGTCCCGCAACTGTACCC